GCCATTGTTTTTCACGCAGATCTCCACCAGCTGCAGGAACACCCAAACCCTAAACCCTAAACCCTAAACCCTAAACCCTAGACCCTCGACCGGAAGAAGTGTTTGGGTTTCAGCTTGGAAATCCTGCTCTCCAAACCCCACCGCCCACCCAAAGACCCTTTCACACATCTCCCCCCTCCCTCCAAACCCTAAACCCTAAACCCTAAACCCTAATTCGTACATCTAGAGCCCTGTACATTCCCTCGGGGTCTGTGCCCTGCCGGAGTTTGTTGGCTGCCTCCTGAAGAAGATAACGCGAGTTGTCTTTACTTAATGCGCATGCGTCTACACAAATCATAGCTAGAGACATATTTATCTCTAAAGAACCCCCATGATACTCAAGGCAAGACCCCAGCGCCTCAGAAAATGTAGGGGCGCCCCCAGGGGGAAACACCATCCTAAACCCTAAACCCTAAACCCTCAACCCTCAACCCTGGACCCTGAAATGGGGGATGCAATGCTCAAAGAATGCCTTCCTGAAGAAGATGACGAGCAGAAGTCGCACCGCTAACGAACCTCAAAACCTACACCCAATCAGACCCTAAACCCTAAACCCTAAACCCTTAACGCCGGACAACCACAGGATCAACAGCGATGACGAAGAGCCTCCTGAGAGGCCCCTGCGGGAGTTAATAAAACAGCAGATATGCCCAAGGGGCCCCAACAAACTCTTTCGGGGCCCCAAGGAAGGAGAAGCTCAGCTGCGTTGTCTGCGGTGCTGCAGCACAAAAAGAAAGCTAACGGCCACAAGAGGCGAAAGGAGTAGAAGAAAGAAAAAGAAATAAAGAAGAATAAAATAAACATAAAAGACAGTAGAGATGCATATAATACAAAGCAACACAAGCTTCTATACACAGCGCTCTATCTACCTCAGTCGAAGGGAGCAAACAGTGCAGCAGCAAGAGAAGATGCGGGTAAGCAAGGAGAGTAAAAAGAAAAAGATTTAAAAAAAAGAAAACATTGGTATAAATATATTTGTTTCTATTTTTATTCCCTCTTAATGTTGGTGTTGCTGCAGCACGTAGAGCTTTGCTCTTTCTTCTGCTCGCCGCAGTATTTCAGCTGTCTGTACACCTCAACCCCATGAGGGAAATTAAAGAAAAAATACTCCAAGGGCGTCGAGATCAATTATTTTAATTGTTTTATTTAAATAGAATATTTCATGACAGATATAATGATGTGTTAATCGATACTTTTTATGCAAGCTTTTGAGTTTTTGTGTAGAAGACTTCTTTTGGTGCGGGCGACGAATTCCTAGAGTGCAGCCTAGAGGTGTGCAGTTTGTTGTTTATCGTTATCTGTCCTTCGTCTTTAAATAAATATATTTTTATTATTCATAAACTCGTTTAATTGGTCTTTAGAGAAAGAGAAGAGGCTGGAGAGGTGAAGCATGCTTAACCCTAAACCCTAAACCCTAAACCCTAAACCCTAAACCCTAAGACCGCTGGCCTCGGGCAGCTCGCCACACATACATCGAGCGGCTTCCTTGTTGGGAGTGTCCTCTGTCCTGATTGGATGGGTTGAGGTTTGTATTTTATTTTTTAGCTTTATTTTACTATAGATGAATGCAGCATAAGGGTTTTAATTGTACGTACACCTGAAGTGCTGCGCCTACTTCAGCAGGCCCAGCAGGCGCGGGCGGCTGTGTCGCTCTCTCTTTCTCTCTTCTCTCTCTTCTACTTAACTCGTTGGTTTGTAGCTGTTTATTTATTTGTCTTCTTTTGGGTTTTTTCTTCGTCTTTTTATTGTTGATTTCTGGTGTACGTGTTCTTCTCGCCTGAAGCGGCTGTTTGCCGCTGCAGCAGCAGCAAGAAGAAACACCCCAGCCCAGCAGCAGCAGCAGCAGCAGCAGCACAACCAGCAGCAGCAACATCAGCAGCAGCAGCAGCACAACCACCACCACTAGCAGCAGCAGCAGCAGCAGCAAACATCACCATGGAGAGGCTTCTTCGAGGGCATGCTCGCTCTCCCTCTGCCTATAAACGAGAGGAAATATCATTTACTGAGGATGGCTGGGCGCGTGCTCCTAGCAGCGCAGCGTATGGTTACAGCACAGATGCAGCAGCAGTATATGCTTCTCCAGCAGACGCAGCAGCAGCAGCAGCAGCAGCAGCAGCAGCAGAAGAGGAGGAAGACACTGGGGAGGCTGGTGATGGGTATTTCTCTGAGGGGGAATATGCAGAAAAGGAGACAGAAGAAGAACATCTGCAGCAAGGAGACAGCGATATAAAAGACTGGGGTGCAGCAAACGGTGAGGCTGAGGTGTATGATGAGGTATACGAAGAAGGAGACGAAGAAGAGGGCGCTGATGAGTATGACTACACAGGGCTGCATGCAGATGCAGAAGAAGAAGAAGAAGCAGAAGAAGAAGAAGAAGCAGCAGAAGAAGAAGAAGATGAAGCAGCAGCAGAGGGAGATGAATACTCAGGGTATGCAGAGCCTATAGAAGAGGAAGAGTATGCATTTGATGATGAAGCAGTAGGATCTGCTGCTGCTGCTGCAGATGAAGAAGAAGAAGCAGCAGCAGCAGAAGAAGAAGAAGAGGCAATAACTGATGAGACCTCTTTAACCCCTTTTTCTCTTGAAGAGATAGAGCGTCGTGTAGAAGTACGACATGTAGAGGGTAAAGGGAGGTGCCTATACACCCGAAAGGCCCTTCAGCCTGGCGAAGTAATATTTATTGAAACACCTCTCTTAGTGGCTGTCCCCTCTATACACGAAGACTTGTGGGGTTTATTAGTGCATATTCATGAAGAGAAGGCATTGAGTCTGCCTCCTGTGTGGCACTTAGCTGCCCTCTGTTCAATATTGTTGCTGGATGAAGAAAGCTTAAGTGCATGCCTCTCTAAGTGGGTTCCTGACCCGTCAGCAGCAGCAGGAGAAGATGTTCTTCGAGTATATAGAGCAATAAAGAATAGTAATTCTTTTACAAGTCAAGATAAGCAGAAAATAAATCCTCAGCTGTATGAACACCTGCTGCAAGTTTGGCGTTTTAATAGCTTCGGTCATCATACAGAATCTCAAGGGCTTGTACTTTATAATAAAATATCAATGATGTCTCATAGCTGCAGTGCCTCAGCTTGCTGGTTTTACGGTGAAGCAGATGCATTTGTGTTGAAGGCCCGTAGGGCATTACCAGCAGAGGGAGAGATAACAATTAGTTATATAGGAGATGAAGACCTTCTTAAAAGCACCAATATCCGAAGAGATAAACTCTCGGGCTGGCTATTCACCTGCTACTGCACCAGGTGTATAGACACCTCAGACCCTGCTAGAGGCTTTCGATGCCCCACTTGCGGCACCGGCACCATGCAATTCAAGACTGAACAAGATGTACGTACACCACAATATATATAATATTATATATCATTATATATATTTATGCATATATATATATATGTATATTTATGTGTGTATGCATATATATAATATATATGTATATATTTATGTATATTATATATAGGTATGTATATATGAATGCGCCACAAGGAGACAGCTAAGTGCAGGTAGAGACACCAGAAGAGGAGGGAAAGCAAAGGAATGAGGGGACACTCTAACTGTGCTCTACTGCCACTACTATAGCGCTGTTGGGGTTTAGGGTTTAGGGTTTAGGGTTTAGGGTTTGGGGTTTGTGTGTTCAGGAGACAACTGCTAACCCATGCACTGTATGCGGTACAGTGGCGGATGCCAGCACAGTTGAGCGTTACTTAACGTTTGAAGCTGCATATGCAGAGCGTTTAGATGAAACAAACAAAGAAGATATGAAAGATGCTGAGATGGTGTACGAGCAAGCCTCTCGAGTATTCACCAGCCATTGGATTCTCTTCCAGGCAAGACTAATAAAAGCCCGAGGGTTTAGGGTTTAGGGTTTAGGGTTTAGGATAGGAGGTTTACGGGTGCTGGCGTACGGCGTGTGATGTTGAGGGTTTAGGATTCAGAGTTAAGGGTAGAAGGTTTCAAGTATAAGGGCAAAAGTCTAGGGTTTAGGGTTTAGGGTTTAGGGTTGTGCGTGGTGGCTTTCAGCTGGACACGATCTTATTTGAAGGTTACAGGGCTGCAGGAGATTATGAGTCGGCGTACGTACACCAGATGCATCGCCTTGAATACGTTACTTCGGTGAGACACATCCTCTGCTGTTGCTGCTGCTGCTGCGCTGCTGTTGCTTCGGCTGCTGCTGTTGCTTAGCGCGAGGAGTCTTCAGTTGTGTGCGTGGGGGGGCTGTACAGTAGCTTCTGCTGCTGTTGCCGCAGCAGCAGCAGCAGAAGCAGCTGCAACTCTTTTCGGTTACTCCCATTGATACTGAGTGGCAGTCGTTCATGCTGTGTGTATCTTTTTGAGGTGTACGTACTTATGTTGTACTATCTTGGTGTTTAGGGTTTAGGGTTTAGGGTTTATTTTTTTTTCCTGTTAGGTGCTGCGTCTTTGTTTAGGGTTTAGGGTTTAGGGTTTAGTGTTTATTGGGAGTATGCGTTTTCTCTCGTGTTGCGTCTGTGTTAAGGGTCTAGGGTTTAGGGTTGAATGTTTGTAATTACAACTATAATTACAATTATATATATATATATATATTATTTTTGTTTCTTTTAGGTGCTGCCTCTTCCTTCTTACTCGCTAGCATGGCTGTATGAAGAAATGGGGGATGTGCTGTGGTCGCGCATACAAGCTAAAGGCAAACCCTTTGCAGACAGTCGCTTAAGGCTTGCGGGTCGCCACTTTGAAGATGCATACAATCTGTTGTATATTCTTTGCGGCCCAGAGCATGAATACACCGCAGCAGCAGCAACAAAACGCAATGAAATCGATGAATTAATCGCCGATGTATAGACACCCCAATTCAGGCTACTACTACTATCATTCATCCCCAGGCATGCGTCTCTACTCAGCACCAAACATGCAAACGCAAGCTGCAACCAAACAAACCGCATCCAGCAGCAGCTGCAGCAGCAGCTGCTGCTGCTGCTGCAGTATCGAGGGAGGTGTGGAGGCCTGAGGAATGATGGGTTTGAGACAGCGGAGTTTTTCTTTCGGCCTCACGCACAAATCTGGAGTGAAGGGCTTTTCGCTGTATATGTGTAGTTGACTCTTTATATATATATATATATATATATATATATATTATTTATTGGCCTGTCTGTCAATCGAGTTAAGTGCAGATGATCGTTGCTCTAATTTGCAGCGTTCATTGGCTTTGGCCTCAGTTTGCTGTCTCTTTGCGTTTTGTGGTGTACGTACAACCGATTTAATTTTCACAGTCTGCCTTAATGCGCATTAGCGCTGCACTGGGGTGTATCTCCAGCACCCGATGTACATATATATAATATATAATATATATATAATATTATATATAATGTATATTATATATATTATATCCTTGTTACCGCTTGCGAACATGGGGGGTATCCTACGCTGTAGGTAGACCTCAATAAGTCAGGGTATTTGTTATGTTAGCTGCGCTGCGACTGGCCTGTCTCTTGTGGGGTTTGCTGGGGCTTCAGCTGCCGTTGCAGTGGGTCTCAACTGGTGCGAGCGAGATGAATTAAGATGTCTTTTTAGTTTATTTAATAAATATGCGCGCAGCATGCATCCGAGGGAAGGGGGGCCCGCTCAGCTGTCTGTACACCCGGCCCCTCGTCTTTAGTCTGCATTTTCCAGCAACTCCAAAATGGGGCTGCTATTTTTGCTTTTTCAACAAAACCCAAAAACAAAACTTCCAAACGCTTGCTGCAGCTGTTTGTCTCTAGGTAGCGCATTATAGAAATGCAATACACTATTATTACTATTATTATTTCTTTTACTTTCCTTTTATTATTTTTCTTATTGTTTATTACTAGTTATTTAGAGGCAATACTATTTATATATTCATTATGTGTGGGGATTAATGACGGCAGTCATTAACAACACTCCGCTAGAGTTAATGTATTGAAACAAATAAAAAGTAGAGAAGACGGGTCCGTAGTGCCAGCAGTATTAAGTCTTGTAGCATACTTGTCGTGAGAGAAAAGCAGTAAATAGCACAGGAGAAAGCATGTAAATTTCATAGATGAAAGTTTTCTTGGCGCTGATGGTGCTGCTGGTACGCGAAGCTGCAGCAGCTTCAGCAGCTGCTGCCCTCCGCCTTGCTGCTGCCGCCGCAGCTCCTATGATGAAACTCGGCAGCTGCTGCTGCTGCAGCTGCCTTTACAGGCTTATACAGTTGTTTCTGCCCCTCTTCGGTGTCTCGTTCTCCAGCTACCCTGCCGTTGAGGGGGAATTTCTTTGATTTTTTCGTCTCTTTCTAGCTGCTGCAGCCGCTGCATCTCTAAGTGCATCTGCTGCAGGTGGTATTGGAATTCCATTTGCTGCTTCAATTGTTCGGGGGTGGAGGCTTGCTGCTGGCCTTCTGCTATTTCGGTCTCTGTGAACCTGGGTTTATTTTTGTTTCTCTTGTCTGCGGTGCTCGCTCGTTTCTTCGGCTGCAGGGAGAATTGAGGAGACGACAACAAATCATTTGCGTATTGGTAGTGTGCATGCAGCAATTTGTTAATTTAAGAGTTGAGATGTTTGTACGTACCGTTGGGGTTTGTCTGCTCTTTGGTTTCCTTGCTTTTGACGGCGTTGCTCTGCTCTTTTGTGGTTTAGGGCGGCCTCTTGTGCTGCTTTTCTTCGCTCTCGTTTCTCTTTCTTCTTCGTTTATCATCTCTTCTTCCTGCAGCTCTCTGTTCGTGCCACTTTCTTCTTTCTCTTCCTGGCTGCGGAGGCGCGCGAGTTGAACGTCCAACCGCTGCAGCTTATCAAGGAAAATTGTGATTTTTTCGTCTGCCAGCTGCACATCGTGCTTCAGAAACAGCAGATCTGCTTGAGACTACACGCGAGATGAAGAGAAACAGAGAAAGGGAATAAATATAGAAAGACAAATACCCACGGCTGTGCCCTCCATTGCATTGGAGGCAACCTGACGCAACTCCTGCTGCACTCGTCGTCTGTCCGCCTTGCTCTATAGAAACACGCAAAATGAAATCCGCTAATTGCTGCAAATAAAAGGAGGCCTCAAAAGCAACAAAAAAGGAAAGAAACAAGCAAACTTATTCAGAAACGAATGTGCAACTTATGGGACACAGTTAAATCTCTACAATAAAACAAACAGATAACTGAATAAGCAACCAGCCAAACAAACAAACGAATTATGAAACAAACATGAAAAGCACAAACAAAAGGGAGGAATGCATGCGCACAAAAGTAGAAAAGGAGTCAGCTACATGCATGCGGCTACTCACCAGCGCCTATCCACTGGCAGATACATAAAAAAGATATATGTACAGGCATATTGTAAATTCAAGAAAGAAGGTGAATATTCAAAAAGGGGCGCACGCAGGCACTATTGCTGAGACGAAGCATGCAGACTGCGAGCGTTTGTTTCGTAGAAGAAACCGATATTGTGCATTTCAACACAACTTATGCATGCAATCACTCTTGTGGATTTTCAACGAAGTAAGCCTCAACAAAAGAAGAAACAAAGCCCCAAGCAGTGTGCATCGCAGCTAACACACTCACCAAAGGAAAGAAACAGAAAGCAAAACAGCAGAAAACGCAAGGATGCAACAGCCAAAAATAATAACTTATTTCTTACCTTTGTGAGTTCTTCTTGTGTTTCTGCAATTTCCCTCTCCAATTCAGAAATTGTTTTTCCTTTTATTGTGGCCATTTCAGCCAACTCGGCGCTCCTCGCCCGCCGCATTTCCGGGGAATTCAACTTTCCTAGGCAGGCCATGGCTCTTGCAAATTCCATTTTCTCTCTGAAGAGGAAAAGGGATAATAAAATAGCATTAGTTAAGACGGAACATTCTTATGGTAAGTTTGTATGATGCCCGAGGAAGACAAAGAGGAAAGAAACGTGAAAAAACAGGAAATATATACACACGTCGGTGTTGGCTCGGGGGGAAGCAAGACGATGACGGGAGCAGTGTAGAGGGTTTCTGCTGCTGCAGCAGAAAGCAGATAAATAAGCATAAGTTTTTTTTATTAAATTAAAACCGATACATCTGGCTGAAATGGCAGAGTTGCCTACCTGCTGCAGCGGCAATGATCTCTGTTCCCTGTTACAGCAAACAATACCATTCAAACATTACTTTAACATATAATGCATTTTTCTTTTCGTTTGCTTCGCACAGTTTGTTCTTCTGGGGGAGGTGGCGGCTGCACGACTGAGGCGGAATAGTCCACTCCCTAGAGAACAACAGTAACATGAACAACGCAAATGCCTTTAATGTGCAGTCAAAAGGAGGAAGAAACCAAATATTTAATTTAAGTAACTAGCAAGCCAAACGGAACCCACCTTCCGAACGTGGGATTGCGTGGCTGCCGAGAGCATCTAAAGAACAAACGATGTTATTAGTTTGCCTGCTCCATTCAAAGTAGAAAAGAAAAGTTTCTTTTTACATCAACCGCTTCCTTCAGCTTGTTGCCGAGCTTCGTCGCTGCAAATTACGGCTATCCAATGAAGCAAATAACGCATATATTCACTCATTTCAACAATTACCACTCTCCACCTCTTCATCTACAGTCTCCTGTGCAGCTTCCTGAAGGAATAAAATATGCAAATACTTCCAAAAACCTTCAAAACATCTGCAATCACTCACAACGGCGTCGAGGTCCACGGGCGGCGGTGCTGCCGCTGCTGCGGCTTCTGCGCCGCCAGCCTGTGGAGGTCCTGCAGCTGTTGCAGTACCAGCTGGAGGGGCCATTCCTAATGGAAGCCCAGGAGGGGCTCCCAAGGCGGCGGGGGCGCCTGCTATGGTCCCCAGCGCGCCCGCCAGCGCCCCCCTTGCAATATTTCCGAGAATGCCTTCTGAACGGGCCCAGAGGTAGATTCATTAAGTGAGAAAACAAAAAAGGGAGGAGAATTGGTCATTCGTTTGTACCTTTTGCCTGCACGAAATGCGGGGGAGGGAGGTTTCCCTCAATACGTCGAGACTGATCATGCTTCTCATGGGGTTCGGCGCAGGAAAGGGAACATAGGAAGAAAAACACTATAATATGTGCTCTAAAGGAGCATGGAAAGTAAAGGGAGACCATGATGAAGGAGTTTCTCTACTTGGTGGTGACTTTTCCCTTGAAATTCACAACTTGCAAAGGCGAGGCGCAGCCCAAAGTTTCAGGTGTACGGACGATGCACGCCGTGCAGGTGAAAACAGCTGAAACCGGAACTAACATCAGCTAAAATTTTTGCTGTGCTTTATATGTAATAGGCTTGTGGGCAAAACAGCGAATTGTTTGATTTCTCCTCCCATATTATTTTCATCGTTATTTGAGCAAGTGACCCGGAGGAGTGAGAGCAGTGATGTTTTTTCTCGGCGTGGCTTCGTCACAGTCCATGAAACTCAAAGCCTACATGGATTATTAATTTTTAAGACGTTACATTTATCATCTTCTTACTGTGGCTGGCAATGAGAACTGTCTTTCAATGGTCTGTTGTGGGTTTCCACTGGTTGCACTTCACTGCGAAGATGGACTTCCGTTTCGTTCTGCGTGGAGGTGCCGTTCGGGGGTAAAAACAAGTGAAAGCAGGTGAAATAAACCGAAATTACTATTTTTGTTTAATTTTCGCTGACACAAGCCAACGAGTCGGCCACCAGTACTACGCGAGTTGTTGCAGCTTCTCTACCAGTGAGCGGCAACGCCCCGCGCGAGTAGATGGTGGGTGTGCTGTGTGGTTGTCTGTTCCAATGCACCCGCCTCAACTATTTCTGTTTTTTCTCGTAGCGTTCGACTTTAAGTGAAAATAATTTCTTTTTGTAGAGTTGCGGCACTTCACAGGTTTCCCTTGAGTGATTTAGCAGACAGGTGGCTGTCACCATTCAAAACGCCACCGCGGAGGTCAACCACACCGCCGCCGCCGCAGCAGCAGCAGCATTATCAGGAGCGGTCGTGTGCTTCTCTTGTCTTCGGCATTCCTTCTTTCTTTTGCAGACATTTTATCAGCCACTATGGAGGCCGTGTCGCGGGAGAACACCCCGCGTTACATCGAGGTTGAAGGTCATGAGTCTGGCAATGGCCCACAGCACGAGGGGCCCTTCCGAGGTGATGAGCGGGGCCCTTCTGGGGACCCTGGGGCTTCTGGAGGCGGCTTTCTCTTTGCTGGACCCTCAGAGATGGGGGAGAGTACTGTGCAGCAGCCCTCTCAGGCGACTGGCGCAGCCCACGAAGCAGGAGGTCCCTCAAAGGACTCTCTTTATTTGCACGAAGATCAGCAGGCTGAGAACCCTTTAGAATCTCAGCAGCCGGTTTCTGCTAATCTAGAGCCTTTAAATGAAGAGCCCAGGGGACAGGAGGGCACTTCTTCCTCCGCGGTGTCTGCAGGGGCCCCCCCTCAAGGCCAAGCGACGGAGCCGCATTTTCAGGGCAGCAGCGAGAGACAAGAGCCTGTGAGGCCTGTCAGCGAGTCTGCTGCAGTAGCGACTACAGCAGCAGCTCGCAATACACTGAAGCGCGCAACAACTTCGATGAGGGAGGGAGTGAAGTCAGCCTCAGCACAGGTGGTGCATGCAGGCGAAAAGGTTGGGGCTGTTTGGAATAAGACCTTAGACAGTGCAATGTGGGTGTGTGCTGCATGTGGGGCCCTAGCCATATTGTTAATAGCGCTGTCTCTAGCTCTTCGAACTTGGAGGCATCAACACCTTCCCTACACTGACGGCAACGGGGAGAACATCGCTCGTGTAGAGCTGGGGCTTAGGTCCCTGCAGCGCATTCAAACTCTGCATAGAAAAGATAGTGCAGGCACAATCATTATCTATGACCCTCCCCTTCTCTATCAAGACGCCATAGAAAGCGCCTACTGCGTCCCAGATGAAGACGGCAACAGAGGCCGCATAGAGGAGCCCCCTCAAGAAACTGCAGCAAACAAACCTAATGAAGACAGCAGCAACGCACAAGAAGAAAATGAACAAAGCGAAACGCCACCACCAACAGAGGAACGGCCACAAGAAGAAGAACCCGAACTGTCTGGGCAGGTAGAGCCAACTCTGCCGGAGCAGCTGCAGCAACAGCTACAGCAGCAACTGGAGCAGCTGCAAGAAGACGACCGCGGTGTGGGTTCAGCAGCAGGAGAAGCAGCAACAGGCCTCGCATCAGCAGAAGATGCACCAGCAACAGCAGTAGGAGGAGGCTCTTCGTTCCTCTCTCGTCGCCTTCAGGCTTCTTCTTCACTGAGCCCCGCAAAGAGAAGGGGCCCCCTAGCAAACCCTCCCCCTTTCAGCGTGACTCTTGGAAGAAACCCGGGGGCCCCCGGGTCACTGACACAGCGATATGCGGAGATGCGAGAGGATTTGCTGGGGCCCACTTTGTTTGATTTACACTGCAAGGACTTAGAGAGATTTAAGAAGAGCGGGGCTTTATTCGGGCGTATGGCGGTTGCTTATTTGGTGTTTGCAGGTGTAGGCATGGCTGCTGCTGCTGCTTCTTTGCTGCTGACGTCTGTAGGCACAGCTTGGGCTCAGCGCATGCAAGACCTCCCTGTGAATTTGATAGGAACGGTGGCCTGGCTGGTGGCTCTGGTGCTGCAGTTATGCGGGTTGGCGTCTTGGGGTGTAGGGACGGATGTTGCTGCATGCGTAACAAGCTCGGGTGGGGCTGCAGTCTGTACGTTAGGGAGTGCTGCTGCTCTCGCAATTGGCTCTCTCGTCTTAACTCTCATTGCTACTCTTTCTTATTGCCTTTTCTTCACTCACAAATTCATTAGGGATCTCGGGCTGGAGAAACAGCGAGAAAACAAACGCGCCGAAATGCAAGAGGCAGAACAACAACAGAATCAACCAGAGATTAAAAATATTAATAAAACACAAACAGAAGAAGATCTACACCCAGCATTCCTAGCGCCGCAAACGCAGAGTCTAGGCGGGGGGCCCCAGCCCAAGCAAACTCCTGACAGCTCCTTGGGGGCCCCAGCCATCGGGGGGCCCCACACCAATTCTATGGGGGGCCCCCACCTCGCTGTTCTGGGCGAAAGTGAAACTCCTATAAGGTCTATTACTGAAGGCTCTCAGGCACTCCGACACTAGAGGGTGCCCTCTATAAAAGTCGTCTGTTTCTATGGCTAATCCTTTCTGTATAAACTCAGCAGTAAACTTCTCTACCCTCTCTACTCCTGCATGCATGCGCCTGCATGCAGGCTAACAGGGGTTCAAACCTCAGAAATAAAGAGGAGGGGGAGAAACAGCAATAACAACAAAGGGATGGCCCCATCGGCCTCGCTGCATGCAGCGCCCTAATTTTTTTTTAAAAGATGAATTAGGGGGTGGGGTTGCTGCTAGTAACACATTCTACTCTATGGGTGGGGCCCCACTAGGGTTTGGGGTTTAGGCCGCTTCACACAGAGACAGACAGAAATTGCTGCTCTGGGCAGTGCAAGAAGGACAGAGCCGGAGAGACTCCAGGCCTCAACAGCTAGCTAGCCAGCTACCCAGCTAGCTAACTAGCTAGCTGTGGGTCTGGCTAGCTAGCCAAGCAAGGGCTAGGGGTATAGCTGTAGTCTCAAGCGAGCCCTGCGCCTTAAGCAGCAGTGCCGAGTGCAGGCCGCTGCCACAGAGTCTAAGGCAACTAAGCTCTCGCATCAGGGAATCAGCTAGCTAGCTAGCTAGCCAGACATCTAGCTAGCTAGTTAGCTAGCCACCTAGCTATTCAACTAGCTAGCTCGTACCCCAGGCAGCTAGCTAGCTGCGAGCAAAGGGGAATTCCCCTGAGAAACATGAGTAGCCTCTATATAGGCGCAATCAAGTTACTTCAGTCGATGGGCGGCTAGCTAGCTAGCCAAACGGTCGGCTAGTTGGAGGGCTAGCTAGCTAGCTAGTTGGCCAGCAAGCTAGCTAGCCAGGCAGGTAACTAGCTAGTTAGAGAACTAGCTAGCTAGCTAGCTAGCGGGCGCTGCTGCGCTGGCGCGAGGAGCCGCTGGCGGAGCCCCTGCGGCCCCTAGATTCCTCCGAGGGCCTTCTCTGGGTTTCCTTAGGTCTCCTCTCCCTCTCCCTCTCTCTCTCCCTGTCCCTGTCTCTGTCTCTATCTCTATCTCTATCTCTGTCTCTGTCTCTGTCTCTCTCCCTCTCTCTGTCTCTGTCTCTGTCTCTGTCTCTGCCTCGCTCCATTCGAGTTCTATCACCCCGTGGGGGCCTGCTGTGTGCAGTTGATGGGGGCCCCTCGGGGGCCCCCCTGCGCGAGGGGCCCTCTGGAGATCGTTCGGCATCCCAGACCCTTCTGCTGGGTCTGCTGCTCTTCTCCTCACGGGGGGGCCCCAGGGGGGGCCCCCTGGAGCTAAAGTCGCCAGAAGGGGCCGTAGAGGAGGCCCTGCGATCTCCTCTGCTTCCTGAGGGGCTTGCACGGGATGCGTAGCTTCTTTCCGGGCTGCGAAACACAAACCCTAAACCCTAAACCCTAAACCCTAAGAGCCGAAAGAACCCTGTGTTCTGGCCTTTTATAGAAGAAATATATATCGAGCTGATTGGGGTTCCGCCTTGCGTTTACTTCCTAGGGTTTAGGGTTTACCCACAAGGGTTTAGGGTTGCAAAACCCTAGAGTTTAGGGTTTAGGGTTTTGAGTTCTAGGGTTTAGGGTTTGGAACCTACTGAGAAGGCCTAGTAAGCTTCGTTGATTTAAGTTTGGTCTCGAGGTCCGCCACCTGCAGCTTCAAAGAGTCTCGCTCCGCCTTCACCTCCTGAGCACAAACCCTAAACCCTAAACCCTAAACCCTAAACCCCAGGGAGCGAGGCAGAGGCCGTTCTTGCGGTCTACGCGCCGCGAAGTCTTGCAGGTGAAGCAACCCTAAAGCTCGCCTAAACCCTTAAGTCGAAACCCCTAAACCCTAAACCCTAAACCCTCGCCACATACGCTGAATTGAACGAAAACTGTTTGCAGTTGCTGCGACAAATCCTCATTATCCGCATCGAGGTCGGCATTCAGCTCCCGGAGTTGCCTGCAGCAGCAGCAGCAGCAGCAACAGCAGCAGCAACAGCAGGAGTATATCAGCAACAGGATATACAGCAGCAGCAGCACCAAGAGCAGCAGCAGGGCATGCGTGTTTGTTTGTGTGTGTGTTGTTTGCAGCGGCGGGTGTAACGAAGAAAGGGTTTAGGGTTTAGGGTTTGTAGGCACCTTAATTCTTTCTGTAGGAAGACAATATGTTTCTTAAGGGCCCCAAGCTGCACAGTAGCAGAAGATAAAGATCCTTCAGTCAGGGCCCTCCCTAACTCTGTATTTTCTTGCTGCAGGGTTTTGCATTTCGTTATAAGCCGCTGCCCAGTTACGCTGCACAGACACCCCACAAACAAACAACGATTTAGGGTTTAGGGTTTAGGGTTTGCGGAGGAGGCAGCAGACGGCTTAAGCACCGACAAGCGTTGACTTCTCTCTGGAATTTAGGGTTTGAGTGGAGGGTTTAGGGTTTGGGGAGTTAGGGTTTAGGGTTTAGGATTTATTCAGGGTTTTGCAGGTTGAGAAGAGAGGTAAGAGCCTTCACAAGTACAAAGGTGCTTCTAGGGTTTAGGGTTTACGTGCTGCGTATTAGGGTTTAGGGTTTTCATTTGCTGCAGCTTCTGCATGCACTGCAGCTGCAGCTGCTCCCGCTGCAGCAGCAGCTGCTGCTCCTGCTGCTGCACCAGCGGCTGCTCACCTCTGCCCAGAAAACTGCTGCGCTGTCTGTGTTTCTTTCGCTCTTTCAAGGGCCCCCTCAGCCTCTGCAAGTCTTTTTCTTAATGTCTTTATCTCCAATAAAGTAGCGGGGTCAATAGCTAATCCCCTAAGAAAGGGGCCCCCTGAGGGGCCCCCTGAGGGGCCTCCAGAGGGGACCCCAGAGGGGCCCCCAGAGGGGCCCCCCTGAGCTGCAGCCCCCGAGGGGCCCCCCTGAGCAGCAACCCCAGTGGGGCCCCACTGGGGGCCCCCAGGGGGGGCCCCTTCTTCTTCTCCTATATCTTTATTAGCTGGGTCGCCTATAAGGGAGACAAAAGGGGCCCCCCAGCACTGCGCCTTTGAAAGAGACCGCTCGAGGGAAGATATTAATGAGAGATGTAGATACTCTCGGCGCTGCAGCAGACGCAAACCCTAAACCCTAAACCCTAAACCCTAAACCCTAGCGACACGGGCACAGGTATAGGCAAACGCACCCACGGGGGAATGAAGGGCAGAGACAAATACATATGCAAGAAAAGAGGCCCCTAAAAGCAACTGAGACCTATCAAGGCCTATAATAGTAGGTTTCTAAGGGTTTAGGGTTTAGGGTTTACAGCTGAGGGTCTAGGGTTTAGGGTTTAGGGTTTGGGGTTTACCTTGAATTCAGCGATAACTTGCAGGAGCTGCTGGACGCGCTCGCCGTCCTCTGGGCGTTCATTTTCCACCTCCATGGGGCACCAAAAAACCCTAAACCCTAAACCCTAAACCCTAAACCCTAAACCCTTGCCCTGGCCGAGAAGCAGGGGCCATGCGGTTCCCGCACCTTGAGGCTGCCACCTAAACAAACACGGAACCCCAAACCCTAAACCCTAAACCCTAAACCCTAAGCCTCTCACCAAAACAAAAGAAAAATGCGAGAAAAGCGCGGCGCCCAAGTTCTAAGCGGGACCCTAAACCCTAAACCCTAAACCCTAAACCCTAAACCGCTGAACAGCCCCGTCCCCCGGGGGCCCTCACCACGATGTAGCGGGGCCCCATTCTGCTGCAAAGTAAATCGAGATTCTTTCACCTTCCAGCTATTAGAAATAAACCCTAAACCCTAAACCCTAAACCCTAAACCCTCAACGCTCTCTCTGCCAGCGGAAGACAGACCTCCGGCAGCCATGGGCCAGAGAGGCCCCACAGCAATCTATAAATCCTGCATACTAGTCTCTAAACCCTAAACCCTAAACCCTAAACCCTTAACCATAGCCTGATAAACCCTCTCACAAACCCCAGGCCTTGAGGGCAGAGGGGAATCTCCTTCTGTCCCCAGGGCATCTAGCGATGGTGTCTCTGCTGCAGCAGCAGCAGCAGCAGCAGCAGCAGCAGCCGCAGCAGCGGCTGCAGCAGCATCATCTGCTGCTGCAGCAGCAGCTTCTGGCTGCCGTTGCTTCTCAGCTTGAAGGGGGAACAGCAACAGCAGCAGCAGAGCCTTCTGGTGGGGGCCCCCAGGGGGCCCCCCGCCGAAGGCATTTGCTGCTCTCTTCTTCTCTTTCTGCTGCAGATGCAGCAGCAGCTCGCACCTGCTGGTCTGCTATTGTCTCTGCTCTAACATCAAAGGCTGCTGCTGCTGAAGCCGCAGCAGCAGAGCAGCAACCACTCACAGCAGCAATTCATGTTACGTTGCAGTGTCTTCGTAGGTCCCTGGATGAGCTGCAGCAGCAGCAGCAGCAGCAACAGCAGCAGCAGCAGGGGCCTGAAGATGCAGAAGCGGATAAGGGGCCCCTGGTGGGCCCCCCTATGTTTGTTGTGGGAATGAGTGTGTTGCTGGAGCTGCTGCTTGCTGCAGCAGCAAAGGCCGAGTTGCTGCAGGGAGGCGAGCAGCAGCAGATGCTTTTAACTCAGCTGCTGCCGCTGCTTCAAGGTGCTGCTGCACTCCCAGCAGCACCTGAGAGGGCTGCTCTTTCGCTGCTGCAGTGCTTGCGGGCTTGTGGGGGCCTCACCACCAGCAACAGCAGCAGCAGCAGCAGTGGCGACACCAGCAGTAGCAGCAGCAGCAGCAGCAAAAGCAGCAGCAAGCGCCCCGTGGTCTTATCTCGCAGCTGCTTTGAGGTGCTGCTGCGTGCAGCAGTGGAGGGGAGTCGGGTAGCAGTGCATGCAGCAGCAAAGCGCTTGCTGCTGCAGTTTCTGTCTCGCCTCTGTGTTCAGCTGCAGCAGGAAGAGGAGACAACAGCAGCAGCAGCAGCAGCAGCAGCAGCTGGGCTTGGCGCCCTTACTTCTGCCTTATTAAGGGCCCTCAAAGAGCAGCAGTTGGAGCAGCAGCAGCAGACGCTGCAGCACAACAGCAAAGAGTACCGAATGCTGATGCTGCTGCAGCGAGTGCTGCCTCAGCTGCTCACCGCCATCGGTCGCCGTCTAGATGCTCTTCAGATGCAGCAACAGCAGCAGCAGCAGCAGCAGCAGAAGCAAGAGTTGCTGAAGCAGAAGGAGAGGGCTGAGGGTCTCTGTCTCCTTTTGCTGCGCAGAGGCCCCAAGGGGGCCCCCCTTCCCGAGTGCCTGGAGACAATGGGAGTGATTCTAAAGGAGCTGCTGCAGCAGCGGCGCGTGCTGCTGCAGCAGCAGCAGCAGCAGTTGCTGCTAAGCGACCAGCAGCAGCAGCAGCAGCAGCGGCTTGCTGCTGGCGGCTCCTCTCTATCAATTGCTTCTCAGCTATTACCCTCTCTCTTATTAAAGAAGAATTTTATGTGCAGCAGCAGCAACACAGGGCCACGGGAGGTTGCTGCCTGGTGTTCTGCTGCAGCTGCTGCTGTCTCAGCCGTCATGATGTGGGCTAGTGAGCAGCAGCAGCAGCAGCAGCAGCAGCAAGAGGGTGACGGCGCAGCAGCAGCAGCACCAGCAGCAGCAGCAGCAGCAAAGCCAACCGATGCAGCGGAGGAGCAGCTGCTGAGTCTGATGGATAAACTCAGCTTAGAGGGCCCCCAAAAACAGCAGCAGCAGCAGCAGCAGCAGCAGCAGCAACCTAAGGACAGGATGAGTGTCTGCTTGTCGCTGGTGCAGCGGTTTTTATCTTCTTTAACGACCATACTAAATAAAACTGCAGACCCCACAGCACATTCTGCAGTAATAAAAGCTGCTGTAAGTCTGCTGCTGCTGCTGCTGCTGCTGCTGGGGGAGGTTTCTGCTGCTGCTGCAGCTGTGGTTCGCGGTGGCTTTGCTGTTGTTGCTGCCTTCAATGCGATTCTTCTCCTTGGGATAGCTGCTGCCCTCTAGCTGCTTCTGCTGCTGCTCTGCTGATGCTGCTGCTCTTGCTGCTGCTGCTGCTGCTGCATTCGTGGGTGCAAGTGCTGCTGTGTTGCTGCTGCAGAGGTGGCTTGTGGCTCAGCAGCAAATAACCGGGGTGCCGATACACCAGGCAATGGCGTCTTTCCTGAAGTAAACCCTAAACCCTAAACCCTAAAACCCTAAAACCCTAAACCCTAAACCCTAGCCTAAGATGTATGCCTCTAGGGGAATGTAGATTTGAGCCAGTGACTGTCTGTTTGCGTCCGAGGCGCGTGACGTGCTTTTGCTTAGGGTTTAGGGTTTAGGGTTTAGGGTTTAGGGTTTAGGGTTTGTTGACCTCAGGAGCTTGCTGCATTACCGCCACAAGACCCGCTGGCCCGAAGCATTTAAATTGTGCGCAGATGAATTTGCAGCAGTGGAGGTGTCTGCATTTAGGGCGGCTTTAGATGGGCCCAGCCCCTGCGCACTGGTAAACCCTAAACACTAAACCCTAAACCCTAAGCTCTAAACCCTAAACCCTAGCGCGGAGAGGGTGGAAGCAGAAGCTCAAAGTCTGCTGCAGCAGAAACCACCCCATCGGATGCGCCCGCTGTACAGATTTAGAGGAAGGCATTGCTACTGGACTTCAGGGTTTTAGGGTTTAGGGTTTAGGGTTTAGGGTTTGTGTGCTTTTAGAGTGCCTCGGGGGACGTAAGCACCTTGGGCGCCTGTCTAGACGATTATTTATCTCCCGTTTTTCTGTCGTTTCTCCCCATCATTTCTTCTCTTTGGGATTTGCTGCTGGCAGCAGAAGGCATGCAGCAGCAGCAGCAGCAGCAGCAGCAGAGCGGCGCTGCAGGCAAACCCTCAACTGCCTTCCTCAAAGCGAGACAGCAGGAACTCCGCTTGTACAGGTCGCGCAGCACCTACCTCTAAACCCTAAACCCTAAACAGCAGCGCTGCTGCTGCTGCTGCTGCTGCTGCTGCTGCTGTTGCTGCCACTGCTGGTGCTGCTGCTGTCCACGGCGCTGCTGCTACTGCTCCTCTTCGCGTTGGTGCAGCTTCTGTGTATGCTGCTACTGCTGCTGCTCCTGCGCACGGTGGTGCCGCTGCTGCTGCTCTCAACGCTGCATTTGCTCTTGCTGCTCTTGCTGCTGCTGCTGCTGCTTCAGGCCTCAGCTGGAGTTTGCGTTGGGGACGGCGCTGCGGGTGTTTGGGTGTCTGAGGGTTTTACACGCAGAGGGTGAAGGCATGAAGCTGTCTCTGTCTCTTGCTGCTGATGCTGCTGTCTCCTTTGATGATTTTGTTGTAGAGAGCAGAGTCGCGCTGCTGCCGCTGCTGCGGCGCTTCGTTTGCAGGGACCGATTGGAGTTCTTCCTTAGGGAGATACTACCAGCCGTCAGCTGCTGCTGCTGCTGCTGCTGCTGTTGCTGTTGCTGTTGTTTGTGCTAGCGCTGCTGCTGGTGTTGCTGCTGTTGTTGCTCTTGTTCGTGCTAGCGCTGCTGCTGGTGTTGCTCCTATTGGTGATGGTGTTGCTGCTGTTGCTGCTCCTGTTGTTGCAGCATCTGGCCGTTGTTGCTGCTACTGTTGCTGCTGCTATTACTCCTGCTGTTTTTAAATGCTGCTGCTGCTGTTGTTGCCGTTCCTGCTGCTGTTGCTGGTGCTGCTGCTGCAGCGTTGCGGTGCTGCGGAGTGTGTGCTGCTGCTGTTTTAGGCTGCAGCAGTGCAGAAGCGTGCAGAAGCTGCTGCTGCTGCAGGGCATACAATGGAGAGCAGAGAATGGTCTGGGGTGTATAGGCAGCTTTGGGGTTTGCTTCCCTCATTCGCCACGCAGCCGCTAGACTTGTCGCGGTGTATCTCCAAGGAGACACTTCAGCCTAACAGCAGCAGCAAGGGGGGCCCCCAGGGGGCCCCACAAGGGGGGCCCCCCGAGGGTTTGCTGCTGCTGCCTCGAGTTCTTGAACTGCTGCATGATGCCTCTTTAAGAGATGCTGCATGCGCAGCTATTGTTGCAATGGCGAAGTCTGCGATGCCTCCAAGTGTACGGACACCTGAGTTGCTGCAGCAGCAGCAGCAGCAGCAGCAGCAGGGGTTGAGCATGGGGGAAGAGACAGCAGCAGGAAAGGCGGCGTCTGCTGCAGCAGGACCTGGGGTGCTGCTGTTTTTGCGGCGATTAGCCAATGCCGTTGCTGCTGCTGCTGCAGGGGACGGGGCTGCTGCTGGAGTGAAAGCAGCAGCAGCAGCAGCAGCTTATGCTGCACGCTCTTGCAGCCTCACTGACAGCAGTCTGCTTCCTGCTGCAGTTATTGCAGCAGCAACAGCAGACAGCAACAGAAGAGCTCTTGCTGCCTTCTCAGAGGAGACACTTAGCTTCGTTACTGTGCGGTATTTGCTGCTGCACAAGGACACAGCAGCAGCAGCAGCAGCAACAGAAGGCGCAGCAGCAGCACGGCCAGCTGAGGCAGCATTTGCTGCTCTTACGGAATCAGCAAAGGCTAAAGCAGCGCAGCAGCTGCTGCAGACAATTCAGGTTCGAGCACACAAAAGGAGACAGACAGCATAAAGGAGACAGAAAGAGACAAACAAACAAAAAAAATAAATAAAAGGAGACAGACAAAAACTCGCAGAAGCAAACAAACATAGGAGGGCAGACAGCAGACAAAGACTGAGACAGACAGAGAGAGACAGCGACAGAGACAGACGTAGAGGGAGAGAGATGGAGACAGACAGATATAGACAGAGACAGAGACAGAGACAGAGACAGAGACAGAGACAGACGTAGAAGGAGGGGGAGAGACAGAGACAGACAGACATAGAGAGAGAGAGAGAGAGAGAGACAGCTACAGCAGGAGCCCCTCTTCGTGTGCGTAGATGCTGCTGTCTCTTTGCAGGCCTTTGCTCCTCTCTGTCCTCGGCCTTTGATGGAGACGAACGCAGAGAGATTTGCTGGTGCTCTCTCTGCATGCATTTCTTCTGTCTCCTCTGCCTCTGGGGCTGCCCCTCTTGCCCCTAAAGAATGCGGCGCCCTTCTTGATGTTTGCAACGCCCTCAGGCCCTTCACTGCTCCAGATATAGGTCTGCTGCTGATGCTGCTGCTGCTGCTGCTGGAGCTGTTGGTGCTGCTGCTGCTGATGCTGCTGCTGATACTGCTGCTGTTGCTGCCGTTGGAGGTGTTGGTGGCGGTGCTGCTGGAGCTGTTGATGCTGCTGCTGCTGCTGCTGGAGCTTCCGATGCTGCTGTAGATGCTTCTTCTGCTTATGTTGCTGCTGTTGCTGTTGCTTCTTTGCTGCTGCGGCTGCTGCTGTTGCTGCTACAGGCGCGAAGCTTTTCAATACTTTGTTGTCGCTGCTGCGCCGCTGCAGCGCAGCGGTGAGCACCATCAGCAGCAGCAGCAGCAGCAGCAGCAAGGCGTTGCTGCGTACGCTGCAGCGGAAGACGTACATGTCCTTAAAGCATGCCTTAGAAGACACTGGGGAGCATGAGGTATTGCAGAGTCTCCCTCCATGCGTTATTGCTGCTGTTGCTGCTGCTTCTATTGCTGCTGCTTCTGCTGCTGCTGCTGCTGTTGCTGTTGCTGCTGCGGATAATGCTGTTGCTGCGGCTGCTACTGCTGCTGCTGCCGCTTCAGGGGTTTGTTGCTGGCGTGGCGGAGCTTATGGAGGTGTGGAGGACCCTTAAGGAGTGCCGGGAGACAGCAGCAGCAGCAGCAGCAGCAGCAGATCAGAAGCAAAGGCTCAGCTGTCTCCTAGCTCTGCTGCAAGCCTTCGAGAGACGCCGAGAAGAATTCGAACCGTCCAGTAAACCCTAAACCCTAAACCCTAAACCCTTTATCTTCAGTTCATATCCGCTCGTGTATTTACAGCTCCCTCATTGAGCCACAGGGCGTAGTGAGTATTTTAAAGATTTAGGGTTTAGGGTTTAGGGTTTAGGGTTTAGGGTTTGTGGGTGTGTTTGTGTGGGGGGTGACGATAGAGTGGGAAGCCATACTGCAGGAGTTGCTGCCAGCAGCAGTCCCTGAGGTGCTGCTGTCTCTGCAAGATATAAACAAAAAAAACAGAGACACTGCAGCAGAGGCCCTCAGCACGCTCGCTGCTCTCTGCGGAGGAAATCAACTCCACAGTATGCTGCTGCTGCTGCTGCTGCTGTTGCTGTTGCACTTGCTTGTGCTGCTGTTGCTGCTGCTGCTGCTTGTTGCTGCTGCTTGCTGCTGTTCCATTTGCTGTTGTTCCTGCTGCTGTTTCTGTCGCTGCTGCTGCAGCGGTTGTTGGTGCTGCTGCACTGCCGTTGTTATTGTTGTTTCCGCTGCTACTGCTGTTGCTGCTGCTGCTGCTGTTGCTGCTGCTGAGTTAAATACTCCAGTGTTATTTGTATCCGTCTGCACCTTTCTTTGCCTGCAAGTCCCGCCCCTCTCCCAGTGTACGCTTAGGGCTAGGGTTCAGGGTTTAGGGTTTAGGGTTTAGGGTTTAGGGTTTGTCTGCTATGAGCAGTGTCTGCGCTGGTGACGTACGTGGGTGCTGGCTTCGGAGGCCTTACACCAGAGACAGCGGGGGGGCCCCAAGGGGCCCCGGGGGCCCCTCCTCTTCTAAAGTCTGCTGCTGCTCTTGCCTTAGGGAGGCTCTTTGACCTTTACTGTACGCAAACCCTAAACCCTAAACCCTAAACCCTAAACGGAATATAGGGGATTATTGCAGATGGCGGGGCAGACTTTGCTACTGGTGGCCCCTGAATGCACACGAATGACTGTTTGTTAGGGGCTAGGGTTTAGGGTTTAGGGTTTAGGGTTTAGGGTTTGGTATTCAGGCGGGGAGATACCCCATAAACAAGTGCAAGAGTGGGCGGAGGTGGGTTTGCTGCTCCTCAAGGACCACAACAAGCTTGCCTTCACCGCCGGCATTCAACTTGCAAAGGTAAACCCTAAACCCTAAACCCTAAACCCTCGATGAGCTAGGGGCGATGCCTCTTCAAAGTGGCAGTGTGTGCAGGTGCTGCGAGGAAGCGGCACGGACTTGGCTGCGCGAAGTCTTGTGCTTAGCCCTGGAAGTCAGCGTTTAGGGTTTAGGGTTTAGGGCTTAGGATTTAGGGTTTAGGGTTTAGGGTTTGAGTTGCAGGCGTGCATTCGTGCTGGAGACATGGATGATATCAAAGGATGGATGCCGTTAATATTGGCGGCCTTGAGCAACCCAAACGCTCCCAAGGGTCTGTACACCCTAAACCCTAGCAGACGCTAAACCCTAGCAAACCCTAAACCCTAACAAATCCTAAACTTTAAACCCAAAACGGCAGCCTCATACCATAGGTAGAAATCAGTCTTTTTGTATTCATGCTTGCTTAAGCGCAGAAAGCCCTTTAAAGTCTCAGGGTTTAGGGTTTCGGGTATAGGGTTTAGCATATAGGCTTTATGGTTTAGTGCTTAGGGTTTAGGGTTTAGGGTTTATGGTTTAGGGCTTAGGGTTCGGCGTGTGTGTATGCGCAGCTCGCATGAAGATTCGTCACTTGATAGAGAAGCTATGTAAAGTGATGGTAACCCAGCAAACCCTAAACCCTAAACCCTAAACCCTGATGCAGCCCTCCTATAAAATGTCCCCAGACCCAAAGTCCTTAAGCACCTCCTCCCACGAAGCACAGCTATCAAGCCTATGCACATCAAACGCGAGGGTTTAACTCGCAGGGTTTACGGTTTAGGGTTTAGGGTTTAGGGGTTAGGGTTTAGGGGTTAGGGGTTAGGGTTTAGGGGTTAGGGTTTAGGGTTTAGGGTTTGGGTTTTCTTTAGGGAGAAGAGGCTATGGAGAAGGCAATGCCTGAGGAGCATCTTCCTCTCTTGCGACATTTGCTTCGTTCTGAGAGACGGCGGACCATTCGCAGGCTCATCCATAAAACCCTAAAGGTCTAAACCCTAAACCCTAAACCCTAAACCCTAATCCCTCATGCTGAGACAGTTGTAGAAATCTCTTCATGCTTGGCTTCGGTACCGAGTTAGCAACGAAGCGCTCAGGCCGTGGACGAGGCCTTAGGGTTTAGGGTTTAGGGTTTAGGGTTTAGGGTTTAGGGTTTCTGGGGCTTCAGGGAGCTGAGGAGTCTGCTGAAGAGAGCGATGGGTCCATTGAGGGCCGCGAGGGCGCAGCAGAGTCGGAGACAGAGGGAGACACAGAAGACGACGAAGAAGAATATCAAGTGCGAGGAGACACCCCTAAACCCTAAACCCTAAACCCTAAACCCTAGGCTATCCAGGCCATCTGCGGCTGTTTGCCGCCACAGAACTGTGGGAGCTATGCTGGGAGGGTTCAGTTTAGGGTTTAGGGTTTAGGGTTTAGGGTTTAGGTCGTTGTCTGGGGGCAGGGCCAGGGGAGCGCACAAGGCGTTTGGCCAGGGTTTCGGGTTTAGGCTTGGAGGTTTAGGGTTTAGGGTTTGTGCGTTTGCAGGAGCGTTCTGTTGCCCCACAAGAGCGCAAGCGAGCGGGAGGAGACGATCCCAGCCGGGGGAGCGGCGGGGTCGAGGTTGTGGGGTTGAAGTCTTTGCTGGATGCCTTTGAAGAGGAGAGCGACGATGAAAGAAAACCAGCAGTACTTTCTCACCTCTAAACCCTAATAAACAAACACAATAAACCCTGACAAGCCCTAACTCTCTCTCTCTCACTATATATATATATATATATATATATATATATATACTTCTGATTGTCTCTGTATACACTGTTGCTGTAGGAGGTTTTTCTTTGAGTGTCTCTGTCTGTATACATACATATATGTATAATATATATATATATTTGTGTGTGTATATGCAGCGGAAGCGCTCTTCTGTTGCTGTAGGAGGCTCGTCTTTGAGTGTCTTTGAAGAGGGAGATGGGTGCGACGCATCATCGGCTGTCTTAGACTTCTGCGGTGTATCGGCAGCTCAGCAAGTGCTTGTTGGGCTGCAGCCACGAAAAGATAGAAAGACAGACAAAGCAGCAAGAGGCATTAAAAGACAAACAAAATTCAGCAGCTTGCCTTTAGATGACTCGGGAAAAATCATCATCCCAGAAGACGAAGAAGAAGAAGACGAAGAAAAACAACAAAATGAATGTAAGAAACTTTCTACCTGCTGCTGCTGCTCCTGCTGCTGCTGCTGCCCGTGCTGCTGTTACTCTTCTGCTGCTGCTGCTGCTGTCCTTGCTGCTGCTGCTGCTGTCCTTGCTGCTGTTGCTGCTGCTCCATCGTCGTATGCAATTATCGCGACAAGCCGCAGATGCTTATCTGCTTCTTGCTGCTGCTGTTGTTGCTGCTGCCGCAAGTGCTGCTGCTGCTGCTGGCGGTGCATCTTGAGGGTCAACTGATAGATATCTCGTTTATTTTCCATGCATTTATTTATTTATTTATTTATTTATTTATTTGCTTATTTATTCCTTACTTCGTTTCTCTCTCCGTCTTCTTTTCATTTGTTTATTGGTTTGGCTGTCTGTTTTTGCTGTTTTGTTCAATTATTTATTTATTTATTTATTTTTGTTGTTTATTTGTTGATTTGTCTGCTTTTTTGTTTATTTATTTGTTTTCTTTCATTGCTTATGTACATATATTCATGTATAATATATATATTACATATATATATATATTTATTTATTTATTTATTTATTTGTTCAGCGGCTTCTCGATTCCACATTGGTAAGGAGACCCCCCGCTCCAGCCGTCGCAAGGACCTCAAGGCAAGCAAACCCTAAACCCTAAACCCTAAACCCTTGAGGTGCAGACCCTGAATCATAACTACACCTTAGTAGTCAACTGTACCGTGGATCCCCCAGTAAACCCTCACTGATGTGTTGTTGTATTTCATGTTTCTATGTGTTGCTGCTGCTGCTGCTTGCAGGGCCGTTCTGCTGCTGGAGCAGCAGCAGCTGCAAAGCCCAGCAACAGCAGCAGCAGCAGCAGCAGCAGCAGCAAGGTGACGCTGAGCAGCTTGGCTGCGCGGCGCGCTGCGCTGCGGGAGCAGAGGAAGCAGCAGCGGGGCGGCCACTACACAGAGCGCAGCGGGTTAGAGTTTAAAGCAAAGAAAGCCAAGGGAGACGTAAAGAAGAAGTCTGGAGTAGATCCTTATGCCTATATCAAACTCAACAGAGGAATCCTTAAGGAAAAATACAGAGCTCAGGCTGTCAGGGTCAGCGATCACCCTAAACCCTAAACCCTGACGCGGCCACTCGCCGCCCTCCTACGAATTCATTAGCCTTTCACTCGCAGTCTAGTGCAGCCCTCATCCGTAAACCCTAAACCCTAGAAGAGTATCTGCAAATGCATGCCGAGAGAAACAGGGGAAAGAAACTGTCGCGGAATCAAAAAAGAGTTCTTGTGTAGTTGGTGAGGGTTTAGGGTTTAGGGTTTGGTGTGTTGTTGGTGGGGTTTGTGTGTTGCTGTCTGCAGTCCTTGAAGTCTGTGATGAACAAAGACAAAAAGAGAAGAACCAACAAAGCAGGGAAAAGCCGTACAACACGGCGCTGAGGAGCTGTCTCCTTTCGACTTTCTCGCTTTCTTTTTACTCTTCTTTTACTATTTTAAACAAAACAAATTGCAGCAATCTTCTGCAGTGCAGCTGGACCCGAACGAGGGAAGGACGAGACACCTGGCTGGCTAGCCAGCTAGCTAGCTGGGTACCTATCCACCGGTCCCTTGTTTCTAGCTGGCTAACCAGCTAGAAGCTAGCCAGCTAGCGTCTATCTGGCTAGCCAGCTAGCTGTCTAACTGGCAGTCTAGCTAGCTAGCTAGCCATCTGTGGAGCTAGCTGCACAGCTAGCTGTCCTCCTGCCTCGCTAGCGCTTGCTATTTGTTGTGCAGCTGGGCATGCAGCTCCGTGGCTAGAAAACCAAGTAGCTAGTTGGCTAGCCACAAGGGTTGCTGAATTAAGGGGAGCTGCAAGGGGTCTTCTGTCTGGACGAGTCATGAAGGGTGTACACACACCTCAAGGCAGACAGAGGGGTAGGATAGGGAAGTTTCTCTGAATACAACGACTCATTTAAAACAATAATAATCATTACGACTGTAATAAAGCAAAAATACGTCTAAATACTTTTTCTTAAGTTGTATTTATAAGCCCTACGCGCAGCACTGACAGCATAAGCCACAGCTTGATGGCTGTGAATGATGAATTGAGGTCTCTTTCGTCGTTTGCTTATTTAATTATTGCCTAATTCTTTTCTCTTCCGTTCTTCATGCGCTATATTACTTTTTTTTCACCTTCCACTTAGACAATAAGAGTCCTCAGTCTTAACTGAGGGCAGTCGTGGCTTGATAAAGTGCGAGGAGGCCGGTAACAAAAGATAATTAAGGGTGAAGGAAAGGCCCTCTTGAACCCCTTCCTGTCTTCAGGAGGCCTGCGCACGGCGAGGCAGATATGTGGGGCTGAAGATATGCAGAGAAGACAGAAAAGACAGCTGGTTTTCTCTCGGGTTGCGCCAGCAGTCGTTACTGTACCTCCTGTAGTCGGCCGCGACCGTATTTATGAACACAAGACCCAAGCCTTATTGTTTATGCATGCACGTAATGCAATGGTAGAGACTCAGTATACGCTTTGAGGGCGTCGTTAAGCAGCCTATTTGCATGAAAGCAACAAAAAAAAACAACTACCGGCCAACGCGAGACGGGCCATCAGCATGGTCTCCTGCAGCAGCATCGCTCAAGGGGTTTCTTCGCGTTCTCGACTGTAGACTGAATTCAATAGCAAGCTGAAAATAATTTAGAATATTTCCTCAGACTGACTTTTTTTTGTTTTCGTCTTGAAATTATACAAACAGAACAAGGCATAGAGCCTGGTCCTGCTCTGGGCGTTCTTGCATGGGTAGCGAAGGGCGTGCGGAGGCTCATGCTTGCGTTTGCAGGCCTAAATACAGCGTTTTTTTGCATTTTATTAAATCAAATAATTGATTAATCAAATTTAAATAAATTAACTGAATAATAACCTACAAGCTGAGAGGTGTCTGCACCGTAAGGGTGCACTGCCGCGACGAGCCCCACAGCTGCCCGGCAGCACGCCTGCGGACGCGGGACCAGTGCCTTCCCTTTTGCAGTTCTAATCTATCTTCAGCGTTCACTTCTTTTTTTTTACATTAATTTTTTTTGTTATATTTGAAACAATGTATTTGCGTCTTTTGGGGGCAGCCCCCTTCTTGGGGGCGGTGATGGGCCATTGGCTGGCAGGTGAGGGATTGAGGCCTCCTCCTAATTGAGGCCTTGGTTACCACAAGGCTCTCCCTGGGTGGCGGAAAAAATGAAGTAAACAGAGTTTATAACAGCGTTTTTATTTTTCACAAATACGTAGTCACTTCGTTACTCGAGAGCGAGAGCAGTAATGTCTACGCAGTAGCTCCTAGACAGAGAGACCAGACACTTCTGCAGCGGTTGAGACACTCTGCAATATCCTCGTATCTGCTGCCCTGTCTCACAGTTATTTTTGGGTTTGACTGTGTGCACTGTTTGTTTCTTATGTGATATTCGTTATGTCTGTATATGTTTTACCTCTTCACAGGCGCACAAGGCCTGGCCGTCGGTCCTGATGCGTCTCTGTTGCTCTCGTCTCTCTTCTCCTCTGCTGCTGACTCCTGGCGTCAGCCGTCTAACGGGAAGAAATCTGCTGTCGAAGAGACTGTTTCGCGGTGGGAGTTGCTGCTGCAGCAGCTGCCTCATCTGAGCGGCGCGTCTGCTACTCCAGCCAACAGCGCGGGGCGCGTGGAGCTGGTCCCCAGCAGCCGCCCTAGCCAGGACACTCAGCCGGACACCGCTATAACCAAACCCACCCCAAAATACCACCGCGGGTCTTATGAGGAACCAGCATTTGATGTGGATGCGGTGGAGTTGATGTTCAACTTGGATGCAGACGAGACCGAGGTGAGCCGCAGCTAGTTGGCGTTATTTGCTGCATTTGATGGTTTCCTTGTTTGCTTGTTTCTCTCTGGAAGAAAGAGTCAGTCGCTTCTTATCGTTTTTAGTTTGCCGGGTTGTGGTGTTTTCCTCATATGCTTGTTGCTGCCTCGCCTGTCTGTTCAGGTTTCCTCGCGATTGCGGGTGCGCCGAAGGGCAGGCGCGCCGCCACAGGATTTGATTCTAGATGGGGAGGATCTGCAACTGAATTCGGTGTCCCTCGACGACGTCCCGCTGGTAGAGGATGCAGAAAGTGGGTACTCCATTATCGAAGGAGGGAAATTGCGCATTCCTATGAGTCTTCTGCCGAAAGAACCGAAACGCTTCTTTTTAGGCATCAGCGTGACTATTTTCCCCAAGAAGAACCTCCAGCTTTCCGGCCTTTACTACTCCGAAGGCGTGCTTGTCACCCAATGCGAAGCCGAGGGTTTCCGGCGCATCACTTACGGGTTAGATCGCCCGGATGCATTGGGCCGTTACCTGGTGAGGCGTTGGATTTGAATTGTAAATGAACGAGGACACGCATTTGAAGCACTTATTTCGTTCATGAAATTAGCAGATTCAAGCCCCTTTCCACCCACGTCGGCTGGGAACGGTCGGGTGTATCTTCAGGTCCATCTTGAGGCAGACGAGGAAAAATACCCTGTCCTGCTGAGCAACGGAAACAAACTCGCTGAAGGTCCTGTAAAAGGACAGCCTGGTCGGCATTTCGCCGTTTATGAAGATCCTTTCCCCAAACCAACGTATCTCTTTGCAGTTGTCGCCGGCAATTTCGGCAGCGTTACCGGCGAATTCCAGACAATGGTGCGCTTGCCCCCCTACTGGCCTCACATGGTTTTGCTTTCCTTTTTGCTTTCCACCATCTCTGTTCAGTTGCCAGCTCATGCATTTTTCCTTGGTCTCGACAATCCCCCTATTGCCGCTGGGGGCCTCGAAAAGCTTGGTCTGCGTTGTTCGTTAGTCGTTCACGTTGCTTCATTTGTGCTATACGCACTTCAGCTGTTGCTGCTGCAGCTGCTTTTTGTGCGTGCAGAGCGGGCGTAACGTGAGCTTGCAGTTCTACAGCCCCCCAGCCGATGTGGACTATTTGAAGCACGCTATGGCAAGTTTGCAGTTGAGCATGAAGTGGGACGAGGACGTCTTCGGTCGTGAGTACGACCTTGGCGCCCTCAGGGTTGTCTGCGTCGATAGCTTCAATACCGGCGGCACGGAGAACAAAGGTCTTCTCATCTTTAACTGCCATGCACTGCTTGCGGACTCAAAGTTCAGCACAGGTAAGGGACGGACGCCTCCGTCAGCAGCTGATGCAAGACGCGAAGTGACTGCTGCTGCAGCAGACGAGTCTTCTACGTGGTTGCATGGGCTGGTGGATTGGTGTTGATGCGGAAGCGACGTTTTTTGCCGGTGAAGCATCTTATGATGTTTTCTGATTTTTCAGACGTTGACTATTATGCAACGGTTTCAACAGTGGCCCACCATTACTTCCACAATTGGACGGGCAACAGAGTGACAATTCGGTGAGTGCCTGCCTCCTGCTGTTTAGTTTGTGCACGTTTCAGTGTTCTCTTGTGTTGTCTGCACAGATGGTGAGGTGTATGTGTGGGTGTTTGTGTGGCTTGATCGCTCTTTGCAGAGACTGGACGGAGTTGTGGCTGAAGGAAGGCCTGACGACTTTCAGGGAGCGGCTCTTCCGCAGCACTTTGGGTTCTGCCGCTGCGCAACGTATTGAAGACATGAGGCGACTCATTAACGTGCAGTATGCGGAAGATTTCGGCCCTTTGTCACATCCTATCCGCCCAGACAGTTACATCTCTGTGAACAGCATGCACACCCCAACCGTCTACTGGAAGGGATCGGAGGTCGTCCGCATGTAAGTGAAGCTGGGGTTGAGGGTTCACCGTTGTTCTTCTGCCCCTGGTTTTCTCTGTCTGTCTGTATGCATGCCAGTGTTGACTCTATCTGGTCGTATTTCACGTCTTTTTGCTTATTTCAGGTTCCTCACCATCATTGGGGAGGAAGGCTTCCGCAAGGGAATGGACATGTATTTTAGGAGATTCGACGGAATGGCCGCCGACTCCGAGGACTTCAGGAAGGCAATGGAAGAAGCCAGTGGCATGGACCTCTCTGAAATGGATGCATGGTTCGAGCAGGTGTGTGAGGGTTTAGGAGTAGAGGTTTACATGCATGGAGGCGATTCTCCTTCCTGGATGCATACATGCCGTTAAATGTATGTATTAATGGATCCCAGATGCAGAAAGGTCTTTCTGCTTGCGTGCCAGGCCGGCACTCCGAGTGTGCGAGTCGTCTCTTCCGGCTTTGACGGCTTCATGAGGGCCTACACCTTCACTCTGGAGCAGTCGGACCCATCAAACCCGGGCCAGCCCACGAAGAAGCCCTTACCGATACCTGTTTCACTAGGTCTCATCGGCAAAAGGAGCAAGAAAGATGTTCTGAATCCTCCTACCCAGGTACACAAATACTCCACTATATCCACAGTGGACATATAATCTGCTAGAATCTGCTGGAGTGCCGCGATGGTGTTTTGCACCCATCCTCCGTTGCTTCGTCTGATACATGTCGTCTTCTGTAGATGGTGCCTGTTCAGTTTTTCTGGCGTTGTTGCAGCTTTTTTGTGGTTGTGTTGGTGATGGTACACGGACAGGTGAAGAAGTGTACTCATTTGATTTCTGTTACCATTTTTTTGCTGGTGTACGTTTCCCTGCTGGGCAGTATGTGAGTGAATGCGCAAGGGGTGGGTTTTCTGCATGTCAGCGAATGAAACTGCGCCTGAGTTTCTGTGCATGCAGGTGGTGCTAATGACAAAGGCGAGGCAGACGTTCCGCTTTACACGCATCAACGAGGACTGCCAGCTTTCGCTTCTGCGGGGCTTCTCAGCACCAGTCAGACTGGTGTATGACATGACACCCCAACAGTTGGACTTCGTCCTCAACAACGATACGGATGACATCAACAAGTGGAAGGCGCTACAAACCCTTGCAACTCAAGCCATCCTAGAGAGGGCTACCTACGCGGCCTCAGGCGTCAACGCCGCCGCATTCCCGCCCCTCGGTCAGGTCTTCCTGCGTGGTTACCAGATGGTCCTCATGAACACTAACATGGACTACGATCTCAAAGTCAGCACCACCGGACGCCTATGGGAGGTTTTCCATGTTTTTGTCTTGCGAAGGAGGGTTCAGCTGATTGCTGCAGGTTGTCTGCAGATTGCTAAAGCTATTTATACCTATAGCTATGAATTTATTTATCTATTCTTTTTTGTGGTGTTTGAGTGCGCAGGCCCTGTATCTGGGCTTGCCGGACGTGGGAGAGCTGGAGAACCACTTGCTTTCAATTGACCCGACTGCCGTGCATACGGCGCTTCGTTCTGTGATGTTAGACTTGGCCTCTGCATTCAAGACAGATTTGAAGGAGTTGTACCAAACGCTAATGCGGACTGGCGGTGGCACCTTGGATCCGGTCAACATTGGCAGACGACGCCTCCAACACCAAGCGTTGGAGCTCCTGTGCAGCCCCCGAGACCGCGACTCTGCTCTGCTGGCCTATTCCCACTACGTCCAGGCCACATGCATGGCTGAGAAGTTTTATGCCCTCCGCTGTCTAGCAAGCACCCATCATTCCGAGAAAGACAAAGCATTTGACCTCTTCTACGCTGAGGCTAAAGGTGCGCATAAACTACAAGCAAACCCCCTTCCGCCTTTTCTGGAAAACAGAACGAAATGCAGTAGCTGCAGTGCTGCAGCAGGTGCTCTTGTTACTCCTCTACTTGTTGCTTTTGCGCATGCTATTTTTGGCTGCTTCAGCAGGGAACTCGCAGCAACTGGACCACTGGTTCCGGCTGCAGGCAGGAGCAGACCTCCCTGATCAGCTAGAGCGCGTGGAAGTGCTGCTTGAACACCCTGACTTCTCGTTTAAGAACCCCGACCGTCTACGCGCTGTTTTCGAGGCGTTGGTGCACAGAAGTGGCCATCATTTCCACCGACCAGACGGCAAGGGGTACAGATTGCTTGCGGATGCTGTGATCAAGGTCAGTCGGTAGTTTGTATGGCCTCTCCAGGTTCGAGAGCTCTTGTACTGCTCTTTTTAAGCTCGGTTTTTTTGTCTCATTGCATGCAAGAGGAGCAAACACCTTCTGGCGTTCTTGGAGTGGGAGTTGACAGCACAGGCGAAACTTCGTGCTTCTGCGGTGCAGGTTGACAAATTCAACCACAGGATGGCGGCAACGCTGGCGTCTCACTTTATGAATTGGCAGTCGTACACCGTAGATAGAGGATCTTTAATGAAGGAGCAGATGCAGCGGATTGTGAGGGAGCCTTCTGTGTCTTCCGAGGTGCTGGGGCTTGTCATGGGAATCCTAGGTCAATAGCAAGAGGCTAAATGGGCCTTCTTGCTTCTGCTTCATGAAAAATGATTGCAGAATTCAAATACATAAGAGTAACAAGGAATGAGTAGTATGTGCAGAGTAGATAGTATATATGTATAGACATCTGTATATATGTGTGTGTCTGTGAATTGGATTCACTCACCGAGAATTGTTTTTGACTTAGCTTTTATCTCGCGGCATTTGGAGAGCTCGCTCTAATAGCGGCTCGGCTGGCGGCGCCTTAGGCGTTTGTTTGTTGCTGCCATATGCCAATGAAAAAAGGGATAGGACCGCACGAGCGGTCGAGGCGATGGGGAGGCTGGTAGAGCATACAGGCTCGTAAGCCTGCACCTTCTGGGGGTGCGTGCACAGTATATATTTGCCCCATTTCTTTCCTTTTTTCCTGCTGTCAATTCAAAATGTTGACCTGGAAACTCACCCCATCGGACCTATTTGTATTTGAATCTTTTGAGGCGAAACGGATGTTCTTGCACTGCAGTTGCGGCGTCGCGCTCGTTCATACCGAACTGTCCGAGTGTAAATAGATGGTACCTTCAAAAATTAAGAATTCCAAAATGCGGAGGGAATTCATTTCTATTAAGTAGACGCAATAGTATAGAGATCCTTCCCTTCAATCATACGGGAGTGTTGCACTGCATGGATATCTTTAGCTGCAGAAGAAATTATCCGTTGTGGAGAGATATCCCCGGGATTCAGATGCTCCTCCATCCATCAGGGAAGCTGTAAATGGAGTAAATCTTTTTTGAATACCTCCAGGCGGAATTAAAAAAGGAACGGCGACTTCGTTGCTCGTGCCGATTTACATTTGTTAGCATCGCAGCTTCCAGTTCATAGTGCAGGATATCCAACTATTAAGGGTTTTTGCAGTATCTGTTATTCTCATAAATTGATGCTTTTATATATCATTTGTAATGGCTTCTCTTTTTATTGTGCGCGTGTTGGGATCTGCTTGTGCTCCGTTGAAACGTCGCGACTTTCCCTTGAAGGTTTCATGAACAACTGACGACCTAGTATCAACTTTTCACGTATTTCCTATCTTACCCACTTTTTTTACTCAGCTAGTTTGTTTTTAGCTTTTTGGTGTGGTTCTATAGCTAATATTCGGCAGATAATCGAAACAATTCTCATTTCAGGCAGCCGTCCTTCGCCCAGCGTTAACCCCAAATGACAGACTTTGAAACGGGTTTTCTGGTGGATTACAACTCGAAAGGGGCAAATAAATACGAAAAAATGTCCAAAATAAATTACAAGGTATATTTCAAATGCGGGGAGTTCAGCTGTTCAGAACCCCGTGCAGATCGATTTTTCCGTGCATGTTGAAGTTAGTTCAATTCGACACGGCAACGAGTAAGCAGGAAATGAAGGCCATCCAACCGGTTTCAGAGGTATTTCAAATAATCATGTTAATTTGTTTCCACAATTTGGAGGAAATAACAACAGAAAAAAGTAGGAAAAACAACCAAATCTACCAGCTGATGTACAACTTGCCCCCCTTCCCCGACCTCCACGACGCCATAGGTGCGCGCTGCATCGCAGGAGCAGCTTAATTTCACTTGATTTTCCCTCGTTTTTTCTTGTAAGTTTATTATTTTCATTTAATCAAGCGATTTATTTTAGTGTGCGCATGCATTTCGCTCCTTGTAGATAACAGACTGCTGCCTCCCCCATACTGCGTGACCATTAACTATTCAGCTGAGCCCCAGCTGTTCAGCGTTCAAAGGTAGTAAAGAAGACCGATTGCGTTGAAAATGAAACAATTGATTTTGTATTCTATTTAATTTCTTTCGGTTTTTCTTTTTTCCCCTTCAACTACAATTTCATCCCCATAGAGCCCGTCTTACCCGCAAGCCCCTCCACGCCCTGATCTTCGTCGGTAGTGGCGGTGGCGCCTCTGGTTTTTGATATATTTTTCTTCCTTTTTTCCTTATATTTATCTGTGTGGTGTCTGCCTGAAGAGTTCAACATATCAACAATCTCGCCTCTTTACCTCCACCTCCCTTAACATAGCAGCGGCCCTGTAGGATGCCTGTACGCCACCGCCGCTCCCGGCGTTCTCCCCCGTGGTCTGAGGAGCGTTTGGCTGCTGTGGAGAGGGAGCGTTTGCAGCTAAAGAGGCAGAAGGAGGAGGAGGCGAGCAGATTGTCGCCTGAGGAGGTACTGAAGAGGATTCGTTCTCGAGGGAAGCCCAAAGGACCAAAGGGGTCTTCTTCTCATACAGAAGAAGGGGGTGGGGATGGCTTAAGGTTGCGGCCCCGGTGCCTCTCTGCTGCTAGCAGCTGTAGGGATTCTTCTGGAGTATCTTCTACTGATGCAAAGCAACAGCAGCAGCAGAAGCAGCAGCAGCAGCAGCAGCATCCGCGACCTGAGATTGGGGCATTCAAGCGATCCGATATGTCATCTGCCTCCTGGACAATGGAGTGTTTAGGCACTGCACTTGACCAGCAGCATTTACGGCACAAGGAAATAGTTTATCTCTTTCGAAGGCGGAAGGCATATTTATCTCTGCGTAATGATATTATAAGCATGGATATAGCGGGCCTGCAGAAGCTTGCAGCGATAAGATGCTGGGGGAAGGTCCCCCAAGCTATGGTGGTTGCTGATAGGGGTTTATGCTCTCTAGAAGAGGCATGCAGCCTATGGGAGGCCCCATTTAAAGAGCTCGCATACCAGTGGGATGAGATGTACGTACGAGAGTTTCCTGAAGTAACTGATGCGGATCGCTGGGGTACAGACAGCTGGGAGTCTTTTTACACTCCTTATTCTCGCGACTTCATGGCTGCACCTTCGCTGCATCTTCAACGCATTTTAAAGTGGAAGGAGAGGGCAAATTATAAAAGAGAAATACCTCTAAAAGGCAATCTAGCTGAAGACCTGCATGCCTCTCTTCGTGCTCTAGGGGTTGAGCCCACCATTATAGCAAATAAGAAAACCCCAAAGAAACAGCTAAATGCTCAACAACACGCACTAACCTCAAAACAGCAACTTGATAGTAATAGACAGACAAAACAAACACAAGACAAACAGGTTATCTCCTCTCAGCAGCAACAAACAATACAGCACAACTCTACAAGCACGAGACAATACAGTAGCAATAAGGATACACTGCCACGCAATATCTCAGCTTCAAAACCCAGTTCAAATAGAAAATCAGATATAATGCTGCAGAGCAATACCACCTGTACGTACACAGCAAGACATACACCACACATAGAAGCTGCTACAACTCAGCCAACACAAGTCACTATCTCCATCCCCTTTGGAAGACTGAGAGAGTGGAGGCCCTTGCAGGTACACCGAGGAAAGCCCTTGATAGGCCCAGGCAACACTCTTTACCCTCCTTGCTTCGCTGACTGCAAGGGAGGCCCCTCATCGCCTATATTGGTAGCAGATAGCCCGACTGAGGGCCCCTCAGGTGGCGAGGCCGAGGAGCCTGAGGAGTTCTGGGACCCCAGCAGGCCCTACTTTTTCCCTAAACAAAACACTCACTATGAAGCTGCAAACTAAAAACTCTTAATCTTCTTCTGTCGCTAGGTGTGTGCATTGCGCTGCTGCTGCTGTCCTCGCTTGTACCTGCAGCAGGTCTAGCCAATCAGAAGATACCTCCCTAACAAAAATAAAAGCAGTTACTGCCGTTGCAAAGGCGGAGGTGCTGCTGCTGCTGCTGCAGTGTAGGAGCCCCCTCAGCTGCCTGCTGCTGTCTGGTGTGGGGCCCCAGCTGAATTGCGGGCGGTCCGGCGCAGTTATTGCGGAAACCTGCTCTTTTTAGTCGAAGAAACTTCTAGTAATTAATTATAACTCAATTAGATTATAAATAATCTTGATTTTTGTTGGTTTTCTGTAGAGAAGCTCGACAGGCTGACGGTGCTGCGGCTGGTCCGGTGGCTCCTTGTTGGTTCTTTTGTGTGCGCCGAGGCGAAGTGGAGGGATGGTGTGTGGGTGTTTTCTTTTGTTTGTTTAATGGTAATAATAATAATGAAACATTTATTTAATTTAATTAAAAAGGAAGAAGAAATAAATTCAAATAATTCAATTAATATCTACAGAGGTGGCTCGAGACTCTAAGAGGCCAACGGCACTGCACACGCCGCACCCTCCCGTCCGCCGGCGCCCCACAGCTGCGTAGAGGCATCTCTTGTGTTTTCTTCTTCTCTTTGGGTTTTGTTGAGGCTTTCTTCTGCTGTTTGTCTGCATTATGCTTTAGGTTGTTTCTCTCTTCGGTCTTCAGTGCATACTGAGCAGCCGCCTCTACCTGCGGCCTTCACTCTCTCAGCAGCAGCAGCAGCAGCAGCAGCTAGCCAAGGAACAGTGCAGCCGTTTCTCTTACCCTTTTCTTTGCATATCTTCGTTAATACGAGGGTTGCAGCAGCTTTGTTCTCTTTAATCTATTGAGACTTCTCTGCAGCAGACGCTTCAGCGCTGCTCCTCAACTGCGATATTTGTACGCCAAACACCGCAACACAACAACGCAGCAGCATCCCCAAGTAAGGCAGCAGCAGCAGCAGCAGCAGCTGAGCCTTGGTGATTGTTTCGTAGTAAACCCCTGGCTTTATATCTGCATAAACAAGCCTTTGGTGTTGTTTCTTCTTGTCTCACTGTTTCTCTTCGTATAGTAGATAAACATAGACACAGCAGCACCGCCACACACCTGCTCCTCTTCCTCCCCCTACCCACACTTAAGCAAATTCCGCCTATTGGCAACCTAATGAGAAGCTAGGGTTTAGGGTTTAGGGTTTAGGGTTTTGCGAAATTGTAGAGCTAAGGGCTTGCATGTGTCCACTGGTCCCCCAGCAGTTTGCTCTGGTGCATGCATTGGTTGCTGGTGCTGTTTGTCTACCCGTTTATTTATCTTTCTTTGCGTATATATGTAAATATATATATAGATATATGTATATATATATATATATATATATATTTACTCTGGCTCTGCTTGTGTGTATGTCTGTGTTCATGTGTTTGCTTGTGTGTGCCTATTTTCGCCTGTCTTTCTGTTTTGTCTGTGTATGATTTTGTGTTGCAGTTGTTGCTGCAGCATTAGATTTGCATTATCTTCTTCTCGGGTGTCTGTACATCTCCCCACGATGTTTTGCTGCTCTGCCCCCCGCGCCCGCGCGGCTTCCAGGAGTTCTTCTGGGCTGTATCCAGCCTTTGAGGTCTCCCTACCTCCTTTGTCTACTATAGGAGACCCTAAGCCTTGGTTCTTTGTAGGAAGCAAAGATGTTCCCGTCTGCTGCTACACGTGGCATTCGCCTAACCCCAAAGGCATTGCTGTGCTGCTGCAGGGCCCTGAAGCCTCGTGCATGCAGCACTGGCTTACTGCAAGAGCGCCACCGCGTGCAGACAATCTTGCTGCAGAAGATGTATCTGAGGGCTTGCCCCTAGTTCCCTTGCAGGAACAGCAAGACCAGGAGCAGGAGCAGCAGCAGGAGCAGCAGCAGGATGGTGAAGGGGAAGCAAATGCTTCCCTGCACGAGGAGGTGAAGCCTTCTTTGTTCTGCTGCAGGCCCGTTACTTCTACTGAGGACTCTCCTCTCCATCTGGTGTCTATGAAGACAGCAACAACACTTTCTCTCTCTCGTGGAGGCAGCAGCTTCCTCGCGCATGCAGGCTCTGCTGAGGGTCCTCTGCAGCAGAAAAGCTCTTTCAAGGCCCAGCAGCTCACATTGCCGGAAGGGCTCAGCTTCGAGAGCATTGGAGACCTTGAGGCACTGAAAGCTGCTGCTGATGCAGCTGCTGCAGCTGCTGCAGCGCAGCGCTCAGCAACAGACGTCAACCGGGGTCCCTCTATGGGGCTTGTGGGTGAAGGCGCGGGATCGGCGGGATCGGCGGGATCGGCGGGATCGGGAGTAGTGGAAGAAAGCTCCACACTGCGATACGAGGGCTCATGGGTGGAGAGGTTTGTGTCTGATGGATATACGGTGGTGGGGCTGGAGGTGCAGAGCCTGAAGGAAGAGGGCCCCTGCAGAAGCAGCTTGGTGTTCCAGGACCTAGTGGCTGACGTCTGCACTTTGCTGCAGTCTCTTGCAAACAAATCTTCTCTCCCCATCTTCCTTGTGGGCGCCGAACTCGGCGGCAGTTTGGCGCTGAGAGCGGCTGAGACCCTCGCTAGAGATGGTTTGCTTGGCAGGCCTGCAGCAGCAGCAGCAGGAGCAGCAGCAGTGCACACACTGGTGCAAGGGCATAACAGCAAGGAGAGGAAGCAGCAAGTGCAGGAAAAGCTGCAGCAGCAAAAACTGCAGAAAGAAGAGCAGCAGCGCCAGCTGTTAGAAAGTATAGAGGGGGCGACAGCATCTACAGCGAGCTCTCATCGCGGTTCTATCGATGGGAAGGGTGCTTATACTTCTGGTGCTGCTGTGGAGAGACAGTTAGAAGCCGTGATAGAGGATGAGGAGGAGGAGGCATCAGGGAGCAGCGCTGCAGCAGTAGCAGCAGCAGCAATGGGCGCAACCCATCGAGTTGTGCGGCAGAAGCCGGTGCCTCTAGCGGGCTTAATTCTGCTGTCTCCTGTGTTAGAGACACCTGAGAAGACTGCATGCGTGGGGTGTGCTGTGCCTTTCTGTATGGATTCACTGAACGGGTGGCTTCTGCCTTGGGGGGCTGCGGCACCTGCTGCTTCTGGGAACCTTAACGGAGGGGGGTCTGGGATCGTCGATCCCCAGCAAGGGTCGCAGAGCAGCGGCTGCTGCGGCTGCAGCAACTGGGATGCAGGTTTGCTGCGGGGCTTAGAGGCAGCGCAGCAGGATGCCTTGTGGCTGCGACGCCCAATCTTAAGAGACGCAAGAGAGCCCTTCAGCTTGAAAGATTGGGGAAAGCTTCTTCACTGCAAACAAGCGAATAAAGAGCAGCCGAGCCTCGCAGACACTCTGGAGCAGCAGCCGCAGCACAGGCATGGAATCGGAGCGGAGGAGGGAGACGAGGAGTGCGGGGCGCAACAGCACCTCTCCGTCTTAGTGCTGCAATCTCTAGAAGATGCTACAGCGTCTCCTCTTCCTTCTGTACGGCTATTTGAATTCCTTGGGGGCCGCGCCCGCCTACCGGAGCCATGGGCTTCTATCAGGCGAGAAGAGCGCCGCAAGGAGCGCGAGGCAAAGCGGCAAGCCGCCGCTGCAGCAGCAGCAGCAGCAGCTGCTGCTGCTGCTGCTGAGGCTCAGGAAGGAGTAGATGCGCTTGGAGAGACCAAAGAAGAGGGAGAAGAAGAGGTGGGGGGAGCTCAGAAGCCCGATGCTGCTTTTGAAGCGGAGTTCCTAACACGTGCTGCTTCACAAGTAGAGAAAAAAGCAAATGAAGAGCTGAAAAACGCAGAAGCAGCAGCGAGGACAGCAGAGATTGCTGCAGCAGAAGGCAGCGGAGAAGCAGAACGGATGATTGAGAAGGCACTTGCAGCAATTAATGCAGCAAACAAAACACTAGAGAGAGCAGCCACATTAGACAGACTCGCTTCCAAGGCGAACGAACGCCGCAAAGATGAAAGCAAACACTTCGCTTCCAAATTCAAAGACATGCAGAAAGCTACTCCAGCATTAGCAGCAGCAGCAGCAGCAGCGGCAGCAGAAGCAGAAGAAGCAACACCTGCAGCAGCAGAGTGCGAAGAAGCCGAAGAAGCAGAAGAAGCAGAAGAAGCAGAGGAAGCAGAAGAGCAGCAAGAAGAGGAGGTAGCTGAATCTGAGGAGAAACGAGAAGATGAAGACAAGCAAGAAGAGAATGAACAGGAAGAAGAGCAAGACAAAGTGCCCACAGAGAACACTGAGGAAGAAGGGAAGCCAGCTGCAGCAGATGCAGCAGCAGGTGGGAGCGTTAGCTGCTGGTGCGGCGGTGCAGAGTCTGCAGAGAGCAGCAAGGCGGCGCGGAAGCGCCGCAACAAGAACAGGAGGAAGAAGGGCAGCAACTCGAGCAGCAGTTTCCTCTTTGCTTGCTGCGCTGGCGAGGAGCAGCGGGATGGGGAGAAGCAGAAGCAAGCTGGGGGCCTTTACCTGAAGAGAAAGAAATGGAAACGGGTCCCAGGAATGGTGATAGACGAAGACGGCTGTTTAGTTGAGGTTGAAAACGCAAAGCAGCTGATGGATGAAGTGAGGGCCAACGGGTTCGAGCCCTTCCCTGCTCCCCTTAACCAGTCGCCCGAAGAAGAAAGCAGCGAAGACGAAGATGAAGCTGTGCACATAGACGAACTGGAAGAAGACGCCATGGCTCCCTTCTCCCGTATCACCAATACGCTCGAAGACGGAGGCCTCCAGCTGTGGCTGCTGCGAGGCAAGAACGGCCCCCTACTTACGAAGGAGCCGGCAAGCGAGGATCTGCAAAAAGATATCATATCGAAATTCATCGAGCCTGCTATAGACAGGATCGCGGCAGCGTCAGAAAGAGAGAATGTTGCTGCCCATTAGGCGGCGTTTCTAGATCGCTTCCCTCCCACTAATTATTACTTTACTCACCTCTTGAAAACAACCCGCAGCGAATCACATACACGGCGAAGTCGTGGAAAGCTTCCAGTTCGAACGCAGATCTTTGGACAGATTGTTGAATAAGTGGAATTAATTACTGATCTTTGCTTCAAAAAGGGTGTCAACTTGAGGCGATAGAAGAAGAAGAAGAATGGCGAACTGCTGTCGTTCAAGTTTTTCGTCCGAGAGGAACATGGACAATGTGGAGGTTTCTCTGAATTTCCTTTGTTTTGTCTCGACTTCATGATCAGAAGTGATTGAAACAAACGTCTATTTGTTCAAAAAGGCTGGCGACCTGAAGAAAGTTGGACTTTCTTTCCTTCGAAAGAAACTCCGAAATCTTGTGGTTTGCCGGCCAACTGTCCGTTCGGGTGTATGCGGAGGTGGTGAATGCACGCAATTCCCGAAAGATATGCCATTTGTTTTCGGGTAAAAGAAGTACCTGCAGTGTCATACATTGGAGAAATGCCTTAGAAATCATATGCCTTAGAAAATAATGCCTTAGAAATAATAGTGCCTTAGTATTCATGAGAAGCTGTACGTCTGTGCCTCTTCAAGAATAAGCTTGCATTGCAACATGAATGATCTGAACTTGTACTTGAACGATTTCAACTTGCAACATGAATAAATTCAAGTTATAGGCGAGTTAATTAATTCAACTTTCAGAATGAGCGAGTTGAGTTCAACTTGCAGTATGTGGAGTTCAACTTGCAACATCAATCAATGGCTTGTATTTGCAACATTGTAAGGATGAATTATTTGTTTGAATGCTGCGCATGCACGTATATATATATATATATATATATATATACTTCTTGCATGCGCGTGTACTGTACGTTATTATTGCATGCATCATTATGTCTGTGTGCCACTGCCTGTCCTATTACGGCCTCCTACCTATATTTATATACGCATCCTATATTACTAAACCACAGTGCAGAACAAACATATATAATAAACTTAGGGGTGGGGAGGGCCTTTCTATGCCGCTTTCCCCTTCTTTTCGATTCTTAAGCTGTCACCTAAACAACAGGCAATCGCCATTTCTTCTTTCAGGGATCTCACGGCGTCTTTTGGTGTTGCTGTTTGCTGTGCCTCTTAAGCTTAAGTACACCTCTTCTGCACTGTAATGACCTCCTCTTATTATTTGTTTAGGTGCAGCTACTCGCATGCCTCTAAAGCAAATAGTAAACTATTTTCCAGGTATGTTTCCCCCGAGCACAGTTGGGGCTGAAGTTAGTTCTGCTCGCCTCCTTTGTTGCTGCTGCGACGCACAGCAGCTTAAAAAAATAGAGTTGCAGCAGCGCTCGCACCGATTGTGCAGCTGCAGTTACACTGGAGGGGCCAAAGGGGCTTTCTGAGGCCCCCAACCCCCATACAAGAGGGCCCCCCTCCGGTGTAAGTACACCCCAATGTAAGCCTGTACATCCATCTACAGCCCCTGTATGCAAACTGTGGCTGCACATGAGGCATTTGATGTCTCTGCATGCATGCAGCAGAGTGCATGCAAAGACTTGGAGAGAGCCTCAACGCCCCTCCAGGTTATGTACACAACAACAAGCCCTCCTCCGATCTGCTGCACTGACGCGGATCCCCCAGGAGAGGAAAGGGGCCTAAAAAGGGTATACATATGTACATACATATATATATATATATTAAACCCTAAAGCAACCCTCAGACAAAATAAAAAAGAAAAAACAGCAAAGCTAAAGCCTGCCTGCAGCAGCACAGCCCGAAGAAACCAGCAGAGCAATTTGAACCACCCCTCCCAATGTTATTCTTGCTGCAACAGCTGCTGCAGCTGCTGCTGCTGCTGCTGTTGCAGCTGCTGCTGATCTGCCTCATCGGCTAGACTTCGTTCTTCTTCCTCAAGCCCTTCATAATCAATCAACATTTCAGGGTTTGGGTTCCACGAAGGAATTGTCGTAAGAAAGAACATCGCAACCCCCTGATACAGCGCACGCTGCCAGTAGGGAGGCACATTAAGGGGGGCCCCCTCTGTTGACTGGGGCCCCTCTCTTTCACGCCGTACCCTCCCTTCTCCAGATAAACCCGGTGAAGGGCGGTGGGCTCCCTCGGGGGGCCCCTCGAAACCACTACGAGAGCTTAGGGGGCCCTCTGGGGCCCCTGGAGATGAAGCATTAACCGAGGGGGCCCCCCCATCTATACGGTTCCGCATGCGGACCTCCTGCAGACCCTCAGATGACCTGTCTGCGGCGCTTGCCCACGCCCCGCTGCTGTTGCTGCTGCTGCTGCTGCTGCTGCTGTTGCTGCCGCTGCTGCTGTCGCCGTTGCTGCTGCTGGCCGCTGTCTCTCCCGTGTGGGGCGTTGTGGTGTCTTCAGTAGCGGTGTAAGTCCCTCCTCCTGCGTGAGCAGCAGCAAAAGAAATAATGTATAAGATTGCTGCAGCCCCTCGACTGCTGCTGCAGCACTAAACGAATGCATGCATGCACAAATATCTGTATGCCTTCCGCTGTAATAAAACATAAACAAAAATATACCTACCGTCAAACGGACGCCCCACAGACGCATGCAGCCGCTGCTGCTGCAGCCTCAGCCGCTGCAGAGGCCGCCGCTCCCTCCTTCTTCTTAGCTGCGCCAGGGTCTGTAGTAGCAGCAGCAAACACAGCAGCAGCACCGCATCTCGCCGATCAAGTGGTGAGCGAAGCAAACAACGGCCCCTTCGCCCTATGGCCTTGACAGGGTGGCTAGCTGCAGCTAGCTGCAGCTAGCGGTTGTGTGGAACGCACATCACTCCAACAGCGGAAGGAGCAACTCATCCTGGGCGTGGCTAGCTGGCTATCTGCGTGTGGCTAGCTAGCTATCCAATGAGCGTCGCTAGCTAGACAGAGCGTAGCTAGCTACCTAATGAGCCTAGCTAGCTATACTCTGACCCTTACTAGCAATCCACTGAGCCTAGCTAGCTAGCTAGCTGATGCGGGTTTGTGTGCGTGGTTAGCTTACAGCTTCAAAGGGCTGCCGATGGCTGGTGCTGCTGATAAGCTCCATTAAGGGGTTGAAAGCCCCGTTTGCATGCAGCAGCGCGACAAACAGACAGGAGACATAAACCCATTTGTTTGCATCAAAGAGAAACAGCAGCACCAGCAGCTTCAGATACATCACCATGAAACGCAATCGCCAAGGCGCACCCTGCTGCTGCTGCTGCTGCTGCTGCTGCTGGTCCTGTCGTGGCTCCTGCTGCTGCTGCGCACCACCGCCTGCTGCTGCTGCTCCTCCTGTGGGTGTTGAAGGGGCTGAAGCCGATTCACCCGACGCTGCAGCAGCAGCAGCAGATGTGGCAGCCTGCGACTCTCCGGCAGCAGCAGCTGAACCCTGCTGCTGCTGCTGTGTTTGCAGCGCGGGGAGGCGTCCTGCTGCGAAGTGCTGCAGCAAAGAAACGGCACCAGCAACAGCAGCAACGCAAACATAAGCTTGCACAGATATTCAGGTGTGGGGTGTACGTACAGCTCATACGCGTGCGGTGTATCTGCAGCAACACTTACTTCGCTTCCACCCATGCTGCTGCTGCTGCTGCTTGCTGCTGCGTTTGCTGCCGCCAATCTCAAAGCCGCAAGGGGCCCCTCAATTGTCGGCCCTGCTCCAGGCAGCGGCCAAACACCATCCCCACTGCTGCTGCTGCTGCTTTTGTTTGCTGCTGCTTCCTCGTGAACAGCCTGCAGCAGCTGCAGCTGCAGCAGACGCGCAAATGAATGCCACAGCCGCAGCTGCCCTTCATACATATCCGCCATCCTCAACGCATGCGCTTGTCGCTGCATCCATACTGAACCTTCAGAAAGCCCTTGGGGGGCCCCTAGAGGGGACCCCTGGGGGGCCCCCTGGGGGGCCCCTAGAAGAGCTGTTGCGGAGGGATGTGTGGCTTGGGGCCCTTCGCTGGCGGAGGGGCCTCTTAACAAAGGTGAATACTCAGGCAAGGAAGCACGAAAGGCAGTACTCGCCTCAGCTGCTGCTGCTGCTGCTGCTGCTGCTGGTTCAGGTGCTGCAGCAGCACCTGCGATTGGCTCTGTCGCAGCAGCTGGCGCTGCACTTGAATCTGCCTCAGCCCTTGGCGTTACAGTGAACGCCGCCTCAGCAGCTCGTTGTGCTGCTGGTGTTGCTGCTGCAGCAGCTGCTGCAGTTGCTGCAGTTGCTGCTGCAGCAGCTGCTGCAGAGTTCTCCGCATCCCCGGTGAAGAAGGGCCCTGGGGGCCTTTCTGTTGGCCTCTGACAGACAGTAAGCTGCTGCTCTGTTGCTACAAGTTGGTGAAGAGCAGATAGCTGCTGCATGCGCTGCAGCAGCTGCTGCCGCAGCCCTGAGGCCGCCGCTGCTGCTGCTGCCTCAGGGCGAGGCGGATCAGCAGCAGCAGCAGCAGCAGCAGGAGACTCTCTCTGCGGCCTAACGAGAGGATCCCCTATAGCTTCAGATGCTGCAGCAAAACCAGGGTAGAGCTCTAAAGGAGGAAACAGCAGCGGCAACGGTATATACTGCGGCTCTGCAGAGAAGGGGGGGGGTTGGGGAGGTTGCATCTCTGCAGGCAATCCCAGCAGCAGCAGCAAGACAGGCCTGCTTAGCAGCAGCAGCAGCAGTAGCAGCGGCAGCAATAGCAACACAACTGAGGCCTTGTCCGACTTCTGCTGCGCTGCTCTCTGCTGCAGTAGCAGGTGCAGCGCCAGCAGCAGCTGCAGCAGGCAAGAGAGAGCAGCAAGAAACCCTTCTCTCTTGGGTTGAGGGAATGTGTTGAAAATGAGTTATTGAAGTTGTCTCCGCACCCTCGCAGCAACCTTCAAGTGTATGTACAGCTGCAGCAAGCGTACTGCTGAGGCTCGGCTACTGCAGCAGCAGCAGCAGCAGCAGCAGCGGCAGCAGTGCAGCAGAGGGATGAAGGCCTGTGGGTTCTCTTCTGTGGCTTTACAGAGAGTTCCTCAATATAAAATGTAGAAAGAAAAATGAAGAAACAGTAAATATAAGATATAACGCAGTGTATGTGCAGCAGCAGCAGCAGCAGCAACAGCAGCAGCAGCAGCAGCTGCTGCTGCTGCTACTGCTGCTCCTGCAACGGGGTGTTACTAGAGTCTGTCTCTCCCTCTCTACGCCTTTCGGGTGTCCGTGCATTGTATTTTATTTTTATAATTAAAAAATGTTTATTTGTTTCTTCTCTATTTTCTTTCTTCTTTTATTGTATTTGTTTAAGCTGCTGGCTGCGGTGTATCTGGGGCTGTCTGATCTATCTAGCTGTCCTTTTTGCTTTTGAAGAAAACAATTAAATAAATCTTCTTTTGTTTATTTTACCTTTCTTTCTCTTCTATGTCTCCTTAACCCTCCGGGGCCTCCTATCCCCAGCATCAGCTGCAACCTACTCCCCCTCTATAATAATATAATAATGCTGCAGCAGCTGCTGCTGAAGAGAAACAAAGAAACAAATAACTATTCGTTGAGACAGCTTTAACCAATACACCTTACTGAGAGACACTTTTGACTCCAGCTACACCCTGCAGTACTCTTTTAGCCAAGCCTTAGATAGCTCTACCTAGCGGAGGAGACAGCTGGCTAGCTAGCTAGCTAAACGGGTATAACGAGCTAGCTGTCAGGGTAGATAGGTAGCTAGCTAGCTAGCTAACTAGCTTGCTAAGTTAGTAGCTAACGAGATCAAGAGCGCACGAGCTCACTAGGGGGACAGCTGACCAACGGGGGGCAGGGCTAGGTAGCTGAAGATATAGCTAGTTAGCTGATGATATAGCTAGCCAGCTATCTGAGGGAATGGCCAGCTAGCTGCAATTACTAGGCCGTGCCACCCTCTCTATTTAGGGAGCTGTGTCCTGCTAGAGGCGGCTAGCTAGTTTTGGCTAGTTCGCTCTGGCTAGCTAGCTGGGCCTAGCTAGCTGTGACTAGCTAGTTGTGGCTAGCTAGGTGTGACTAGCTAGCTGTAGCTAGCTTGCTGTGGCTAGCTAGCTGCGACTAGCTAGCTGTGGCTGCTCTTCAAAGGACAGGGCGGGGGTCTCGTGCTGAGTAGCACAGGATGTGTCTCTCCAACTGTCTCCTACTAAATAGACCTCAGCTCCTAACGACGAGTCCGTAGCTAGCTAGCTAGTTAGCTAGCTAGCTAGCTAATTAGTTGCCTAGTGAGCCAGCTATCCAGCTAGCCAACTGACTGCATGCATGCACTCTTAGGTGGTGTCTCTAAATAAAGCGGCTCTCAGGGAGACGGCTGGGGGCCCTCGCGCTGTCTCCTCAACGAGAAGATCGCTGCAAAAATATTATGAAAGGATATTCTTTTTCTTACTCCAGTATCTATATATATATATATATATCTATATATATATATATATATATACAGCAAACTTCTTCTATCTAATTGTTTGAACAGGATAACGCAGCATTTTCCTTCTTAACTGACTAAACAATAATAATAATAATAATAATAATAATAATAATAATAATAATAATAATAATAATAATAATATTAATAATAATAATAATAATAATAATAATAATAATATTAATAATAATAATAATAACCCCTCGCTAATAAAGCAAAAATATTTATTGCCAGTATTATTATTTTTATTTTTATTTTTGTTGTTATCCCTGTTGCTATTATTATCATTATCGAAGTCTTTATTATTAATATTATTATATTCTATTATTATTATTTATTATTATTAGGGAAGCAAAGACTACATGTATAAGGTTAGCTTATTTATAATATACAGGGGGCTTCTACCCCTTTTCTTAGTCTCAGCTGAAGCACGCGCAGAAAGGGCCCCCTAAACCCTAAACCCTAAACCCTAAGCCCTATAAACCCTAAGCCCTCAGCCCTAAACACTCTCTAACGGGCCCCCTTCTACCGCTTAAGGAGGGCTAGGCCCTCTTCTTCTTTGAGAAGCTGTCTATAAAATAACTAATTAAATTGTTTACTTGAACTTGTCTGTAAATACACTGTATAACGCCGGCTTACAATATATTATAAACTCTCTCATAAGACTTTCTTATTAAGTTCCTCTATAAGACTCTTATTAACTTCTATTAAAAGACTTTCTTATTAAACTCTTATTCAAAGGCCTTCAGGAGTCTCCCCCGAAGGCAAGCCAATCATTTGCAGACCCTCATAGAAAGAGGCAAGGACCCTCGAAGGGGCCCCCAAAGGTGTTCGGGGGCCCCCTACCCCCTTAGTTACTCGGGGGCCCCCTATAGGCCCCCCTATAGGCCCCTGAATGCTGTGGGGTTTTGGGGGAAGGGTCGGCTGCCCTCCTGCTGCTAAGGGCCCCTCTAGCTGCTTTGCTGCTAATAGGGGCCCCCTTAGCTGGTCTCCAAATGCTGGGGGCCCCCCTAGCTGCCCTTTAGCTGCTACCGGCCCCCATAATATGCTTGAGGGCCACTAATAGGGTCCCCCCTTAGTTTCTCGGGGGCCCTCGGGGGCCCCCCAGTACCCCCCCTAACTGCTCGGGGGCCCCCTATAGCGGGCACCCCTAGGCGCTCGGGGCCCCCCATAGACACCCCCTTAACTGCTCGGGGGCCCCGCCATAGAAGACCACCTAATTGCTCGGGGGTCCCCTATAGGGAACCCCTTAGTTATTCGGGGGCCCCGTATATGGGCCCCCTTAGTTGCTGTGGGGCCCCCTATAGGGCCCCCCGAAATGCTCATAGGCCCCCTTTAGGGACCCTCCTAGTTGCTGTGGGGCCCCCTATACGGCCCCCTTAGTTGCTCGGAAGCCCCCTATAGGGGCCCCCCTAGTTGCTGTAAGGCCCCTAATAGGGGGCCCCTTAGTTGCTGTGGGGCCCCTAATAGGGGGCCCCTTAGTTGCTCGGAGGCCCTCTCTCTACAAGAACCTCCCGGGTTGCTCGTAGGCCCCCTTTAGGGGCCCCTCTTATTGCTCCGGCCCCCCTATAGGGCCCCCCTAGTTGCTGTGGGGCCCCCCCATATAAAGGCCCTCTTTGTTGCTCGAGGGCCCCGTAGAGGGGGCCCCTTAGTTGCTGTGGGCCCCCCTATAGGGGCCCCCCTAGTTGCTGTGGGGCCCCTATAGTGGTGTTGATAAGGGGAGTGTGTACTGCTTATTTTTAAGAATTGTTTGTCTCGCTGAGGTGTACGAAGAGCTTCTCTATGACTGGAGGAAGTAAAAGAAAGCAAACAGAGAGCGAAGATAAATGCTGTAGAGGGAGACACAGACCATCAAATGCATATAAAATATGAGGCTTCATAGAAGAAAGTGCTGAAGAATCAGAGGGTAGGGGGCCCCCCTCGGGGCCCCCGGGGCCCCTCTCCCCTGAGGGTATATGGGGGATCTGCAGCATTCATAGAAAAGATAACACAAACATTCATTACTTATATATGTGCTCACCCTAAACCCTAAACCCTAAACCGATCTAGGCAGGTTCATTTAAACCGCCTTCAGTCACAAAGGAGACAAAAGAGAGAGAGAGGAGACAGAGAAGATGAGGGAGACAGAGGAGACAGAAGAGATGAAAGAGACAAAAGAAACGTGAGAGAGAACAACAAGAGACAAAGGAGACAGAAGAGACAAAGGAGACACAGGAGACAAAGGAGACACAAGAGACAAAGGAGACAGAAGAGACAAAGGAGACAGCCTCATACCTGCGGATAGCGTTGACTGAAATGTGTTAAGAGCAAATTCTCACACCCGCACTCTCCAGCTGTACGCACAAACCCTAAACCCTAAACCCTAAACCCTAAACCCTAAACCCTAAACCCTAAACCCTAGACCTTGAACTATTTATGACTCTAAGGGGTTTGCAATGCAGCTTAATCTGCTGCTCATCCCAGTAAACAGTTTCTAAAGCAGCAGCACAGGGGCCCCCTGAGGGGCCCCCCAAGGGGGGCCCTATAGGGGGGCCTCTATTGTCGGATGTTCAAGTTTGTGTTGCATTTCTGTTTCTAGGGTTTAGGGTTTAGGGTTTAGGGTTTTTTACCTCCTTTAATTACTTCGCTGATAGCAGAATGTTTTTTTTCTATGGCCTCCGAGAGGAGACTGTCTTCAAATGTCGCTGAGGAGACAAAGGAGACAAAATAAATAAAGGAGACAAAATAAACAAATAAGAGAGACACAATAAACAAATAAGAGAGACACAATAAACAACAGAGACAGCAAAAGCAAATAAGAGAGACAGATTAAACAGACAGAGAGAAAATAAACAAATAAGAGAGATACAGTAAACAATAAGAGACAGAATAAACTAAGCAGACAAAATAAATAAAAGGAGAAAAAATAAACAAAAAGAGAAAGAAGAGACAAAAGAGACAGAAGAGACAAAGGAGACAGAAAAAACAAAGGAGACAAAATAAATAAAATAAATAAAGACGAAGGAGACAAAATAAACAAAGGATATAGAATAAACAGAAAGAGACAAAAGAAACAAAAGATAGAAGAGACAAGAGAGACAGAAGAGGCAGAGACAGATAAAGAAGAGAGACAGAAGGGACAGAATAAACAGAAAGAGACAGAAAGAGAAAGGAGACACATAAAGAAAGGAGACAGATAAAGCAAGGAGACAGATAGAGAAAGGAGACAGAGAGAGACAAGAGATATAATAAACAAAAAAGACAGAATAAACAAAGGAGACAGAAGAAGAGAAGCAGCAGCAGAGAAACAGCAGCATTGAAGAAAAGCAGCAAGCGCTACAGGAAGAGACAGCTGGAAGGGCCTCAAGGAGACAAAAGACAGAAAGAGACAAAATAAAAAAGAAAAAACAAAAGACAAAAGGAGACAGGAGACATTAACTCCTAACAATCTTTTTACTAAGAGCAGACACCTTATTAGCACAATACTAAATACTACACAGAGGGGCCCTTCATCAAAACAGGCAGAGGGGCCCCCTGATGCTGCCTCACTGCTGCAGCAGCTGCTGCTGCAGCTGCTGCTGCTACATGTGCTGCTGCTCGTGCTGCCACTGGAGCTACTCCTGCTGCTGCAGCTACGCCTGTTGCTACTGCTGCCGTTCGTGCTGCTGCTACTCCTGCTGCTGCTGCTACTCCTGCTGCTGCTGCTACTCCTGCTGCTGCTGCTGCTGCATGCATGCATACCTTCGTGCAGCAGGAGAGTACAATTATTAGCTAAGGCGAAGAGCTGGGGACAAGGTCGGGTGTCTCCAGAGTAAACAACAGAAAGAGCGCCCAAGTCAACGCGAACGCCAAACGAATCCGGAATGTGATCCACCTGCAACGCCAAACCCTAAACCCTAAACCCTAAACCCTAAACCCTAAACCCTAAACCCTAACCAATAAACAGTGAACAATCAACCCCAATCAATAAATAATGAACAATAAAACAATAAACAATAGACAATAAACAATATACCCTAAACAATAACCCTAAACCCTAAACCCTAAACCCTAAACAATAAGCCTTAATCACAAACACTCAGGTGGCCCCTCCGGCCAAAGCAACGCGGAGATAATTCCAAGAAAAAGATAAACAGATTTACAGGCAGACAGAGGCAGCTGCTGCTGCAGCAACACTAGCTGCTGCAGCTCATCCAGCAAGACCGGCAGCAACAGCAGCAACAGCAGCATCAGCACTAGCAGCAATAGGACCACGAGCAGCTGCAGTAGCAGCACCACCACCAGCAGCAACAGCAGCAGCAGCACCGGTAGCAGCAGCAGCCCTACCAGCAGCAGCACTACCAGCAGCAGCAGCAGCAGCAGCACTACCAGCAGCAGCACTACCAGCAGCACTACCAGCAGCAGCAGCAGCAGCGGGATCTTACGGGTACAGTTCTGATTTGCAGTGCTTCTGCTTCTCCAATCCACGCTGCTGCTGCAGCAGGAGAGAGGTGAAGAGCAGAGAATGTCTCCTCTAGCGGCGATATCAGCGACTCGCAGCAAACAAAGACGTGAGGCATTGCAGCCATCTCCACAGAGACAAACTCAAACCACTCCTGCAATAAACCACAAACCCTAAACCCTAAACCCTAAACCCTAAGCCCTAAACCCTAAACCCTAAATTGTAAAGGCTAAAAATTAAATCGTGTCGCTTAGACGCACAAAAAATATTCAATAACAGAGAGATGAAGGCAACAAAAGTCACAGATAAGCAGCAGCAACACCAGCAGCAGCAGCAACACCAGCAACAGCATCCGGCAGAGCAGCAGCACCAGGAGAACCGGAAGCAGCAGCAACAGCGGCAGCAGCAGCAGTGCCAGACGCAGCAGCAGCGGTGCCAAGAGCAGCAACAAAGACAGCAGCATCAGCAGCACCAGCAGCAACAGCAGCAGCATGAGCAGCACCAGCAGCAACGGCAGCAGGACACCAGCACCAGAGGCAGCAGCAGCAACAAAAGCAGCAGCAGCAACAGCAGCAGCAGCAACAGCAGCAGCGACAGCAGCAGCAGCAGCAGCAGCAGCAACAGCAGCAGCAGCAGCAGGACCTGCAGCCTAGCTGGTGCAATGAGGAGGGGGGGTTTTGCTTCTGGCCAAAGCGCAGCGCGCGTCTGCAGCAGCGAGAGGACCCCCAAGTGATGGTCTGCGTGAGAGTGCGAGATAAAAATAAATCTAAAGAAAAGAAAAAAGAAAAAAAGAAAAAGAAAAGATATAAATAACAGAAGCTCCACATACACCCCAACATAACAAACAAAATAATGTGCAACAACCAGACCCTTTGCATGCACAAACCAAATAAATACCTGCTCGACTCCAGCAGCAGTAACAGCAGCAGCAGCAGCAGCAGCAGCAAATGCAACGGCCTCAGCGACAGCAGGATCAGCAGCAGCAGAACCAGCAGCAGAAGCAGCAGCATTTGAAGCGTTGACGTTTACGCTGGCCGAAGCACCACAGCCAGCAGCAGCACCACCAGCAGCAGCAGCAACAGCAGCAGCAGCAGCAGATGCAACAGCAGCAGCAACAGCAGCAGCAGCAGGGGACGGACTGTATGGAGAGCAGTATCTGCAGGAACTCCTCCTCTGTCTCTGTTGCTGCTCGCAGCTGGGAGAGAGACCCCTCACCGAAGTCAAGAACAATGCCTAGAGCAAAGGAGACAGGAGAAGCAGCAGCATGCGTCTGTCTCTGTTTGCTGCAGTCTGTCTGTTTATCTATCCCTTTGTATCTGTCTCCTTCATCTCTAGCACGCTCTGTCTCTACCGAGTGCTGCTGCTTCGCTTCTCTCTTTGTCTCTGCCTCTGCTACTTCTCTTTGTCTCTTTCTGTCTCCTGGGGTTTGCTTGCTGCGGTGTCTGTCTCCTTTTCTCTCTCTCTCTCTCTATATATATATATATACATATGACACAGCAGTATATATACGCAAATATATATATATATATATATATATGCATGTATGTATATATTATGAGGCAAACAGACAGCCGGCAGAGACAAACAAAGAGAGAGAAGAAAAGGAGACAGAGACAAACAAAGAGAGAGCAAGAAGAGACAAAGAGACAGCTGAATAAAACAAAGCAAGAAGAAACAGAGACAGACAGAGACAGAGACAGCCGCATATATAAAGAGACAGCGTAAAGAAGGAGACAAGCAACAGCAACGCATGCATGCAAAAGAGGAGACACATAAGACAATAATAATAATAATAATAATAACAATAATAAGAAAAGATATACAGGCCCCCTATATGCAAATAAAAACTCTGTCTCTTACTTAAACTTGCAGATAAAGTAAGTATGCAGCCAGACACATTCCTATAGTGTGATGGGGCTGCAGACCCTGTCCCTAATACTCTTAATGAGGGGCCCCCAAACCAATGGGGGGCCCCTGATGTCTCCTTGGGGGCCCCTGCTGTCTCCTTGAGGGCCCCTGCTGTCTCCTTGAGGGCCCCTGCTGTCTCCTTGGGGGCCCCTGCTGTCTCCTTAGGAGGCAAATAAGCAGCAAATTTCTCCTTTAAGGCATTGTAAGAGTCAGCATCAAACAGAGACTGTTCAGAGACAAAGACAAAAAAAATATAAAAATATCATCGCCAAAGGATTAATAAAATTTATATTAATATAATAATATAATTAATATATTATATATATTATACATACATAGTATTATTATAATAGTTATAATTAGCATTAATACTAATATAATAATTATAAATAATATTAATAAAATAACCACAAAGAATATTAAGTAGTTCAATTATTATAAATAATATTATTATTAATATAATATTTTAAGAGAGCATTAATATTAACAAAATAATTACACATAATATTATTATTAATAAAATAATTATGAACAGTACTGATATTAATATAATAATTATAAATAA